AGAAAGACTTTTTAAAAGGTGTATCTTGCACCAATCATATCATGTTGTGGGTACTGACGAGCTGATATATCAAGCACGTCATGTCGAGGGTAGAGCCCAGTAGTTCTAACTACATCAGTCGTTTTATGTCGAGGATAGAGCCCAGTGGTTCTAACTACATCAGTCGTTTTATGTCGAGGATAGAGTCCAGTGGTTCTACCTACATCAGTCGTTTTATGTCGAGGATAGGGTCCAGTGGTTCTACCTACATCAGTCGTTTTATGTCAAGGTTAGAGTCCAGTGGTTCTACCTACATCAGTCGTTTTATGTCGAGGATAGAGTCCAGTGGTTCTAACTACATCAGTCGTTTTATGTCGAGGTTAGAGTCCAGTGGTTCTACCTACATCAGTCGTTTTATGTCGAGGATAGGGTCCAGTGGTTCTACCTCATCAGTCGTTTTATGTCGAGGATAGAGTCCAGTGGTTCTAACTACATCAGTCGTTTTATGTCGAAGATAGAGCCCAGTGGTTCTACCTACATCAGTCGTTTTATGTCGAGGATGGAGCCCAGTGGTTCTAACTACATCAGTCGTTTTATGTCGAGGATAGAGCCCAGTGGTTCTACCTCATCAGTCGTTTTATGTCGAGGTTAGAGCCTTGTGGTTCTACCTACATCAGTTGTTGTATGTTGAGGATTGTAGTTCTACCTACCTACCTGCTAGACTATTGGTATATCTATCGGAACTAAATGCGACCCTCTGTTGACTGACTTACTTTTGTTTTCATTCATTGAAGAGCTCAACAAAACATGTCACAAAGACTAAATCATTTAATTTCATTTTCAGTTATATTGATGACGTCTTGTTTTTAAATAACAAGAAAAACATCCATTGAATATACTCCCCAGAATCGGAAATTTAAGATTTGACACTCTTCTACATTAGATGCTTATCTGATCTTTTCCTAAAACGAAACCAGCATGGGCGGCTTTTTATTTCTGGATAGCAATATTCCTGCATCCCCATCCTATGGTGTTTTTATGTTGCAGTTGACTCAATATCCAAGGGCATGTTCTCTTTATCACGATTTTGTGCAAGGAGTCAACCGATATGCAGGTTGACAAAATTTATGTGGAAGTTTTATGGTTGGCCTAGTGATCGTATAGGGAAATATTTTATTTTTTTATGTTACATGAAGTTGGACGTTTTTGGTGCTCGTTATTTTGCCTGTTGGTTCCTATGTTGTAGAACGTGACATTACTTATTTAGATTGACCAAGGTTTACATGACGGGTGTCGTTGATGAAGCAGAAGACGCTTACTCTTCAGGAACACCTGGATTTATTTTCCTTGTACTTTTTCAGGAGTCTCCGTGTAAATATTTCTTTTGTTTATATTCTGCCCAAATTTATAGAATTTAAGTTTGGATTATGATTATGTTGACATCTTGACATTTTCTTGACATTTTTTTCTACCTACATCGATTGTTTTAAGCCTAGGATAGAGACTTGTGCGAAATGCTTGTCACTTTCTATGATTCTTACATGAGATACGATCGTGAAACAGGATTAAAATGTATCTCTTGAAAAAAAAAAATATTTTGACTTTCAAACGTAGACAGACTCCACATTATTCTCTTCTTTTGTAGGATTTCATATATGAATTGTAGTCTTCTGTTGCTTTTTATTATATACACCAAACATCTGAAACTGTTTGATATTTCAATGATAAATGCTTCATGTTGTTTCTAGAATGTGGCGCTCATATGGCAGATATTGTATTCCTGTTGGACTCGTCAGGAAGTGTGGGACAGACGGACTTCCAGAAATTGCTCAATTTTGTCTCTGAATATGCGCAACATAACATCATTGGCCCAAATGATATACAAATGAGTGTTTTAATATATGCCTCTGACGTCACAGTCCATTTTGATTTGAATACCTACAATAGTGCTGATGCGATATCAAATGCAGTACGGAACCTCCCATACAAGGACGGAGGGACACACACTGAAAAAGCACTACAGATGGCGCTGTACCATAGCTTCACTCGACAGTCAGGGGATCGTCCATATGCCAAAAATGTGCTTGTTGTTATCACAGACGGTTACTCGTATGATCGTGAAGCGACACTATCAGCAGCACAAATGTTACGCCTGTATCAGATAGAGACAATTGCTGTGGGGGTCGGGCAGGGTGTGGATGTGTCTGAACTACGAGGCATAGCAACGGACAACAGTCACGTGTTTACAACAAGAAACTTTGATTCTCTCAGCTCTCTGAGATCACAGCTTAATGTGTTTACTTGTAGCCTGTCAGTATCATGATCATGTCTAGGTTATGTAGAGCCTGTCAGTATCATGATCATGTCTAGGTTATGTAGAGCCTGTCAGTATCATGTCTAGGTTATGTAGAGCCTGTCAGTATCATGATCATGTCTAGGTTATGTAGAGCCTGTCAGTATCATGTCTAGGTTATGTATCATGTCTAGGTTATGTAGAGTCTGTCAGTATCATGATCATGTCTAGGTTATGTAGAGCCTGTCAGTATCATGATCATGTCTAGGTTATGTAGAGCCTGTCAGTATCATGATCATGTCTAGGTTATGTAGAGCCTGTCAGTATCATGTCTAGGTTATGTAGAGCCTGTCAGTATCATGTCTAGGTTATGTAGAGCCTGTCAGTATCATGTCTAGGTTATGTAGAGCCTGTCAGTATCATGTCTAGGTTATGTAGAGTCTGTCAGTATCATGATCATGTCTAGTTTATGTAGAGCCTGTCAGTATCATGATCATGTCTAGGTTATGTAGAGCCTGTCAGTATCATGTCTAGGTTATGTAGAGCCTGTCAGTATCATGTCTAGGTTATGTAGAGCCTGTCAGTATCATGTCTAGGTTATGTAGATCCTGTCAGTATCATGTCTAGGTTCATGTCTAGGTTATTCAGAGCCTGTCTTATCATGTCTAGGTTATGTAGAGCCTGTCAGTATCATGTCTAGGTTATGTAGAGCCTATCAGTATCATGTCTAGGTTATGTAGAGCCTGTCAGTATCATGATCATGTCTAGTTTATGTAGAGCCTGTCAGTATCATGTCTAGGTTATGTAGAGCATGTCAGTATCATGATCATGTCTAGGTTATGTAGAGCCTGTCAGTATCATGTCTAGGTTATGTAGAGCCTGTCAGTATCATGTCTAGGTTATGTAGAGCCTGTCAGTATCATGTCTAGGTTATGTAGAGCCTGTCAGTATCATGTCTAGGTTATGTAGATCATGTCTAGGTTATGTAGAGCCTGTCAGTATCATGTCTAGGTTATGTAGAGCCTGTCAGTATCATGTCTAGGTTATGTAGAGCCTGTCAGTATCATGTCTAGGTTATGTAGAGCCTGTCAGTATCATGTCTAGGTTATGTAGAGCCTGTCAGTATCATGTCAAGGTTATGTAGAGCCTGTCAGTATCATGTCTAGGTTATGTAGAGCATGTCAGTATCATGATCATGTCTAGGTTATGTAGAGCCTGTCAGTATCATGTCTAGGTTATGTAGAGCCTGTCAGTCTAGGTTATGTAGAGCCTGTCAGTATCATGTCTAGGTTATGTAGAGCCTGTCAGTATCATGTCTAGGTTATGTAGAGCCTGTCAGTATCATGATCATGTCTAGTTTATGTAGAGCCTGTCAGTATCATGATCATGTCTAGGTTATGTAGAGCCTGTCAGTATCATGTCTAGGTTATGTAGAGTCTGTCAGTATCATGATCATGTCTAGTTTATGTAGAGCCTGTCAGTATCATGATCATGTCTAGGTTATGTAGAGCCTGTCAGTATCATGTCTAGTTTATGTTGTGATTGTACGTCTGAGGATCTTTTCTAGGTTATGTAGAGCCTGTCAGTAGGTTATGTAGAGCCTGTCAGTATCATGTCTAGGTTATGTAGAGCCTGTCAGTATCATGATCATGTCTAGGTTATGTAGAGCCTGTCAGTATCATGTCTAGGTTATGTAGAGCATGTCTAGGTTATGTAGAGCCTGTCAGTATCATGTCTAGGTTATGTAGAGCCTGTCAGTATCATGTCTAGGTTATGTAGAGCCTGTCAGTATCATGTCTAGGTTATGTAGAGCCTGTCAGTATCATGATCATGTCTAGGTTATGTAGAGCCTGTCAGTATCATGTCTAGGTTATGTAGAGCCTGTCAGTATCATGTCTAGGTTATGTAGAGCCTGTCAGTATCATGATCATGTCTAGGTTATGTAGAGCCTGTCAGTATCATGTCTAGGTTATGTAGAGCCTGTCAGTATCATGTCTAGGTTATGTAGAGCCTGTCAGTATCGAAGCCTGTCAGTATCATGTCTAGGTTATGTAGAGCCTGTCAGTATCATGTCTAGGTTATGTAGAGCCTGTCAGTATCATGTCTAGGTTATGTATGGTTATGTAGAGCCTCAGTATCATGTCTAGGTTATGTAGAGCCTGTCAGTATCCTGTCTAGGTTATGTAGAGCAGTATCATGTCTAGGTTATGTAGAGCCTGTCAGTATCATGTCTAGGTTATGTAGAGCCTGTCAGTATCATGTCTAGGTTATGTAGAGCCTGTCAGTATCATGTCATGTCTAGGTTATGTAGAGCCTGTCAGTATCATGTCTAGGTTATGTAGAGCCTGTCAGTATCATGATCATGTCTAGGTTATGTAGAGCCTGTCAGTATCATGTCTAGGTTATGTAGAGCCTGTCAGTATCATGTCTAGGTTATGTAGAGCATGTGTCAGGATCATGTCTAGGTTATGTAGAGCCTGTCAGTATCATGTCTAGGTTATGTACAGCCTGTCAGTATCATGTCTAGGTTATGTAGAGTCTGTAAATGACATGGTATAATACTCTAGCTTGTCAAAAATAACAGAACAAGTTACAATGTTAAACATGTTTAGAAGACATGTGAAATCTGATGTTATGTAGAGCCTGTCAATAATATTCCTATACAAAGTATCTACCAAAGATATCAGAGGGTAATGATAATCATGATTTAGATAAAGCAGCACAGGAAACGTGTACTCACAATTTCAACAAGAACCTTTCATCATACACTGTACTCATGATATCATACACTGTACTCATGATATCATACACTGTACTCATGATACACTGTACTCACAATTTCAACCAGAACCTTGTATCATAATCAGTACTCATAATTTAAGTTTTTTTTTTTTTCTATATGAAAATAATCTTATAAAAATTCATCACAATCAGTAGAAGGGTTTTTGAGAAGCAGCTCAAATGACAATTCTTTACAGATGCCTGATAGACAATAGATAATAGGCCCCTACTGACCTTAATACACACAGATATGTCAAAATGTAGCAAAATTATTCTGGAGCTAATGAACTTTATAAAATATTATATATATATATATATATTCTACATATATTATGGGTAGTTTCTATGACAACATGCTTTTAGTCCTTTGTAAAGCTAGTTGTAGCTTCAGAATATTTGCATCTAAAGTGGCTATGCCTTTACGGAATGTTTTGTCCGTTACAGTTGAGGACGAGGACAAGGTTTTCCCTGAGCCAGACACACTGGAGATGTTATCATCTTCAATAGCACTAACAGAGTTATCCAGTGCAGTCCCATGGTATAGACTATCCTGGCCAGACTTCTCTCGGGAATCAGTTTTCGATCTTGGCTGAATACCAAGTGTTGTTGGACGTTTTGATTCTGACTGCTGAGAGTTTGTGAATCTGGAAGTACTGAAATCTCTGGGATATCCAGTCTGTGTGGAACCTAACAAGAGATCTGCTGGCTGACTCGCTGCTCGTTTATGAATGGAATGTCTTTTGTAACTTTCATCACCAGTTGTTTTATATTTTCTGAAGTAATCTGTGACACTATATCGGGACTGTTCAGCATCAGACCGATTAGATTCAAAGTTCACCTGGCACCAAGGCTGAATTCCTGATCTATCTTTGTTATAATTGATTAGTTGCTGTGAACCATGTCTCTCATGTCCATCATCATATAAAATTTTATTCATTCTTTGGCTGGTGAATATGTCCTCCGTTGATTTGTCTCCATCTTTAACCTCTGAGTCAATTAGAGAGAGTCGTTCAACTTGACGTGGAGAGGAGCTCAATGTTCGCCTATGGCTACCTTCTTTCAACTCTCTTCTTCCATGAGGGGAACTGCTTCGTCTGCGTTGTCGTGATAATATTCTTTCTTGAGTTCCTTCATTCAACATGAACTTGATTTTCCGATCACAGTTGTTCCCCTTGTTATCACTCTTCTGTTCCAGTGATTTATTGTGGCTGGCTAGAGCCTGCTCCGTTAATTTAGCTGATGACCGATATTCTGCACGACTTTCTCTTTCTCTTGGATCAAACCTTAGAGTCTTCACTGGTCCTGCTGGCCTACTGACAGCTAACCCCCTGATGTTCTGAGTATTTTGAGACCGGGATGGTGATAGAATACTTGCAGGAGGCCTGCAATGATTTAAAAAAACAACAAAACAAAAATGAGAATCAGACAAAATTTCTTATAATATCACTATGTATTATTCAACAAATATTATTTTTAAGTTTCTTCATAAGTCTTTTCTCAGGTTTTTCCATTTGGTTTTAACAGCCAAAACTTTTCTTTTCTAAATAGTTGTTGTTCATCTGTTGCATCAAAGGTTTCTGCAATATTTCATTAAGATTGGTAAAGGAGCTTAAGACAATAAATGAAGCCTGCTGTGTGTTAACTTTAGGTTTACATCAAGACTGATGTGTGTATACTTTAGGTTTACACCAAGACTGATGTGTGTATACTTTAGGTTTACATCAAGACTAATGTGTGTATACTTTAGGTTTACACCAAGACTGATATGTGTATACTTTAGGTTTACACCAAGGCTGATGTGTGTATACTTTAGGTTTACACCAAGACTGATGTGTGTATACTTTAGGTTTACACCAAGACTGATATGTGTATACTCTAGGTTTACACCAAGGCTGATGTGTGTATACTTTAGGTTTACACCAAGACTGATGTGTGTATACTTTAGGTTTACACCAAGGCTGATGTGTGTATACTTTAGGTTTACACCAAGACTGATGTGTGTATACTTTAGGTTTACACCAAGGCTGATGTGTGTATACTTTAGCTTTACACCAAGGCTGATGTGTGTATACTTTAGGTTTACACCAAGTCTGATGTGTGTATACTTTAGGAATACACCAAGATTGATGTGTTTACCTTGACATTTGTTGTTCCCCTCCCAGGATTTTCAACAGAAGCCTGCGGCTGTCGTCATTCATTACATTTTGGTCACCTGATTTGTCCAACTCCTGCATCAATTCAGTCACACTGGATTTCATCTCCCTAAAAAAGTATCATTATTTGTTCAGAAATAAATCATTTTACAAAATCAAAACAGATGAAAGATTTCACACAATCTGACATACAAAATTATGCCCTATTCATCCCAGGATGCTTCAGACCTAATTAGAATAAAATCCAATAATTCCAACAGAAGGAGGATTTTTAAAGATTTAGGTCATGCCCCTCACGGATGATTCAGAACAAATTTTGTTAAAATAGCTTCAATTAAACAGAAGAAGGATTTTACAATGATTCCATTATTTCCCTCATTAGGCCCCGCACCTCTGACCCTAAAAAGGTCCCAATAACTTTTTATACAATTCAAGTTTCCTTCACCCAAAGATGCTTCAGACCAAGTTTGGACACAAGAGGCCCATGGGCCTTAATAGCCATTTGACAATCAAATCAATTACTTACTGAATTATTGCCATATCAAATGAAATTTGGTTGAAATCCAATTTGGCTTTCAGGAATAATAACAAAGGAAAACAAAATTTCAGCTAGATTTACCATTTGTGGCCTGATCTCTCAGTCTCCAGAGGTTGAATCAGCTTTCTGAAGTTAAACCTTACCTCTATATAAGAGTGATTCCCCTTCACCCAAGATTGCTTCAAATAAAATTTGGAAAATATCAATTCATTCCTAGAGGAGGGGTAGGATATTAAAAAATTACTTTATATCCTCTTTTTGGCCCCACCCCTTCGCCCCTGGGTGCTGAGGGCCAATATTTAAACAAACTTGGTTCCCATTCACCAAAGATGCTTCAGACCTCTGCTGAAGTGATACTTACTGGACAGTATCTTGTAGTCGATTGATCTCTGCATCCCTCTGCTGTAGTGACACTTGTAGGATGTGATTTTCCTGGTCTGAGGCCTCTTGTTGAAGTTGGATGGCCTCAATTTGGCGATTCATCGCCTCCATCTCTTTTCGGAATTTCTGGGCATCTATAAGACACTCCTGTTTGATTTTCAACTCATCTGTTTCCTGAAGAAAAAACCAAATGATTGGTTAAAATATGCACCAGTCAGCCATTCCAATATTATGATTGGTTAAAATATGCACCAGTCTGCCTTTCCAACTTAATGATTGGTTAAAATATGTACCAGACAGCTTTTCCAACTTTATGATTAGTTGTGAATGTGCCAGTCGAAATTTCCAACATTTTATGTATGTGAAGTTTGTTTTTAAATTATGTATATATATGGTTTCAAACACACCTTCCACAAAACAGGTTTCAAATAACAAGAGGAAGATAGGGTCTGTAAAGCTGTCCTTTCTTCAAAACATGATGTAAAGAAATGTTCATATCCAGTTCCATTCCACCATTTATTATGCAAAAAGGCTTCATGAATAGTCGCATATCATGTTTACCATTAAATATAAATTAGAAAAGAAGTAAGACTTTAGAAACAAGAGGCCTAGTGGCTTTGACAGTCACCTGAGATAAGCAATTGATTATAAAGGTTAAAGGGTAAGTAGCTTTCAAGTGTCATAAAACAGAAATTGTGACATTGATGATAGTAATCCAGTGTCAATACATCCATACCATCAATACTCTTCATCCTATACTAATAATTCTTACAAAGTTATTTCCAGTGAAAAATAAACTTATGCTAAAAAAATACAAAAAAAAATTCTCATGAAATAGCAATAACAAGAATTATTAAAGGATAGATGGCGAACAAGCAATGGACACACGATAAATCTCAAAAGAAGGCCATTTGGTTAGCCTATTATTTGATAATGGTGTGCTAATAAATGTGGTTTTCTTTTCATTAGTACACCTTGAAACAATAGGACATAAGTCATCTCAGGTCACATGTCTAATTATGAATGTGGTATTATTTCTATTTGCAAACTTAACAATAAGAAGTTAAGGCTAATCAAAAGACCATTACGTGGGTTTCCAAAGATGAAACAATGTAGTTACTATTTCCAACATGAAGATATATTCAGATTTATTTCACCATTTTCATACCTAAAATGATTCTAACCTTTTCACTTAAAGCAGCTAGAAGTCTGTTTCTCTCCACCTTCATTCGTTGAATCTCACTGAGTTGAGTAGCAACTTCTGCTGCCAGCTTCACCTTCTCTTCCATCTCCTCTTTCAACTGTCGTTGTAACCCGGAGTTGCTGGCCTTTAAATGTAGCACTGCAAAGACAAAATGTTATTGTAAAACACAACCCACTCACAGCAGTAATCAAAATAAGTGATAGTTGCTTGGACTACTGAGTGACTAGAATGATAAAACAGTTGTGTATATTATAGTTATTGTAAAATTTTCAGAAAAGTCATATATTGCGTTCTGATCTACCTCCCCAATTTTTCTGTGATAGTTCTAGATATATTTGACATTCCAGTCTTTGTTCTATATCTAGAATTTTAGGTACTTCTGTAACTTCACTTACTTTTCAATATTTTAGTGTTTAAGGTAAATCTGTAACGTCACCTACTTTACTATATTAAATCTGATACTTTCACTTTTTGAGGTAAGATACATGTTTAAGGTAACAAATTCTCATCTTGGTGTGAGCTTACAAGCCCCTATTTAAGCTTGATTTGGGGTTGAATTTTAACCCCTTCTCCAAATCACTTTGTTACTAAGGTAGCAGCCATTTGTTTATTTGATCTACCCTATCAATAAAAAAAAAAGAGAAAATTTTTCCATCATTTTCCACAGTACATGTTGTCAGGACGAAGTATATTTCAGGTAGAGATTAAATATTGGACTACTTTCATATAACTTTCCTTCGCTTACCATCAAAATCCACCCCTGTTGCCTTTAATTTTTCCTGTTCATGTTCCCGTACATTTTGATTTGCAAGTCGAAGTTTCCTTTAAAAAAATAACAAAAACCAATACTTAACTCATACTGATTCACATCAACTGTATAATTATCACACAGTATCTTCAATTACAGCTACAGATTCAACTGATACTTTAGATAACTAGACAATGTCTACAGGACATGAACAGTCCCATGGAAATTACCACACAAGTATCTATAAAAACAGGTAGTAATGGTGACCTAGATCTTGGAATCCTTTCACAATATGAATATGAACTCTTCCAGATAGTCTGAATTTTAAGTGGTCAGATAATGGGTAAAAGAGATATAAACATATTACAATCAACAACAATAGGAACACGGCACACTATTGATATTTAAAAGTTATTGGATAAATAATTTTCCCAAATTGTGTTGGTTATAAATCATGTTTATCTAACTTGAGTTATATAACATGGATAGATAACTGCCACTTGTTGGGGAACTGTTATTTAACAACATCATTCAGCAAATTACAGTCCCCACTCCATCAACACACTGCCTCACCAAGGACAACCAATACTCATCCCCCATCAACACACTGCCTCACCAAGGTCTACCAATACTCATCTCCCATCAACACACTGCCTAACCAAGGTCAACCAATACTCATCCCCCATCAACACACTGCCTCACCAAGGACAACCAATACTCATCCCCCATCAACACACTACCTCACCAAGGACAACCAATACTCATCCCCCATCAACACACTGCCTCACCAAGGTCAACCAATACTCATCCCCCAACAACACACTGCCTCACCAAGGTCAACCAATACTCATCCCCCATCAACACACTCCCTCACCAAGGTCTACCAATACTCATCCCCATCAACACACTGCCTCACCAAGGACAACCAATACTCATCCCCCATCAACACACTGCCTCACCAAGGTCAACCAATACTCATCCCCCAACAACACACTGCCTCACCAAGGTCAACCAATACTCACCCCCCATCAACACACTCCCTCACCAAGGTCTACCAATACTCATCCCCTATCAACACACTGCCTCACCAAAGTCAACCAATACTCATCCCCCATCAACACACTGCCTCACCAAAGTCAACCAATACTCAAAGTATGAAGTTCAAGTTAGTTTTAGTATAGAGATAGACTCTAGAAAACATTTTTCTTTGATACAGGTCAAAATGTAGGTCAGTGTCAGTATATTTGCTACACACCACACAGGCTCACTAAGGTGAACCCTTACCCCAGGTATGCAGTTCTGGTGACAAGATATGTAGGAGAAAAAGCCTGGACAAGATAGCAGAAAGAACACAATGCAAAACCTATAGACTACTGACAATAACCTTGACCTTGAGAACTTGTCATGCACATCTGCCTTTCACAGTGTATCTCATGAGAAATGTCACTAAGTTTGGTGTTCATGTATGCAGAGATAATCTCCAGAAATGAAAGTGCTGACAAACAGACAGACAGATCAACTTTTATAGGGCACCATATTTCCAAGCAAGGCCGTAAGATAGGTTTGACCATGTGTAGGAGACTTGTATAAAATGTACTGTGTAAAGTACCTGCGTAGTTGTGCATTCTCATTACGTAGTGGTTGAAGAGCTAAATCTATCTCAGCTTGAAGACTGAAGGTAGCGCTGAGTTGAGGGATTGAATCTAGGGACTTCTCTATTTCTCTTGTCAGACGACCAATTTCAACATCCTCTGCAACGATAATATTTATAAACATCAATTTTAATCCTAATTCATCAAGGAATCTAATTATGACATTTAAAAGCTAGACACTTTATCTGTAAATTGCATATTTATATACTCTAACACAATTATTCAGCTTGAAGTAAAACAATTTTAAATTAAAAGACACAGCAATTCAAAATGAATTACACTTACTTGTATGACCTGCTTTTTCCACTTTGTTATCATGGTAAATTAAAAGCAATATCACACTAAAATGTGTGTTTTGGGTTTTTTCCTAAAAAGTCTCTAATATACTGAGTAAAGATAACTCAATCCAACAGGTTGGGGGTCAGGTTCCTCAAAATTTATTTAGGTAGTCAGTCTAATATACAGATTTACTTTTAGTCACAGGTGAGCCAAAAATCATACCAGGAGAGAGTCATTTAGTCAAAATAAATAACTATTATATCCAGGTAATTATTTATACATACTGTTAATTTTACCACATTCTTTCATCTCTCCCAGCAGGTATCGGACTCTCTTCATACCAGCATCCAGTCTCACTCCACTCCAGGGATTAGGCTGGCCAGGAACACTTGCCTGATTGTCCTGACTGTTGACAGCAGAGCTCAAGCTTTGATGTTTAAGGGAGGCAAAATCAGCCTCATTTGTCAGTACAGACACTGGAACACAACTTTCAATATTCGATTGAACTTGACCCTGACTATTTGTTCTGTGACCTTGACCTTTGTTATCAAGTTGTACTCCACCAGGAATTTGTATGAAGCTTGGGTAGGGTACCAAGGACACGGGCACAAGCTCTTTGCCTTTATCTGTGTGAATTAGGTGGTATAATGTCCCAGTTGAAGAGATGCCATGCGATCCTGCATTACTTTCTGCACTAATCTGAGAAGACTGTGTTTGAAATGAACCAGTTCTGTTTTCAGTGAATTCACTCGACGAGTTTTGCTTTTTACTTTTGACATTATCTGTCAGACTGGGTTTTGAATCTTTTGACTTGAAACCATTTGGCTCAGTTGCTGGGAGAAATTGGTTGGTGCTCTCAGTGATAGTACTACGAGGTGTCAGAGCTTCAAATGTGTTTGCAACAGACCCATCAATTGTTGATATGGTGTCTGGAGCAGCATCTCTGCATGTTTCTCCTGGTCTGGGAGATTTCTTTGGTTCAATGTCTCTTTCAGGTACCTCATAAATAAAATTGCCATGAGGTCTATGATCTGAACAGTTCTGATCTGAATTGGTGGAAGAAACAGGGATGAGTTGAGCATCATGTATCTGTCTTTCTTCACCTGGGGCCCCTGCTGTCATGGGCCCATGAGGTCGAATCTGGTATAGACCATTTTGATAATGAAATCCTGGTGGGACATTGCGATCTAGTATACCTGAAGTACCTGCTGGTCTGGGTAAGTAAATGTATTCTGTGCCACTACTGTTACCTGTAGTCTGAGAGCTTTGAAGAAATGATGACCTACTTTTATCACCTGAGCTGCCTGACTGATTGTTCCCATGTGGTACACCGACACGCTCTGGTGACTGTCCACTAGTTGGTACAGTCGAAAATCCTGTAGACTCCCTTGCTATGTATGCCTCAAATGCTCCAATGTCACTTTCACGTTTGCCTAAACCATCAGCCATATTTTGTTCAATGCCGGTTATCACAAAACTTTGACCAGTTCCACTTGTGGGCATTACAGATTGGTATCCATGGTTACCAAACAACTGAAAGTCTGTTCCGTGATACTCCATATGAGTACCCACTGTAGTGGCCCCTGTATTGTAGTCTCCAAAGGGAACCCTTGGGGTACAATTGGTATCCCTCTCAGGTATGATCTGAGGTCGGTCAGGGTCTGGAGTGGATGACGCTAGTCGGTCGTTGAAGGGAGTGTTCCCATTTCCCAATACAGACTTGGCTGTCACATGACCAGGAGTGTAGTCTGTACAAAGAAAATGTGAAAATATTTTTCTGTGAAAGAATTACAAAATTTGCAAAGTTATAATTTTATAATAAATGATTCAATGTGATATCTTAAGCATCTACATTTAAAACATGTCATACACATCATATTAATATATCATAAAAGTCACATCCAACAGAAGGATAATGATGTAACCCTATAGCAAAAACTTTCTGTGGTCATAATAGTTGGCCCTGAAAACTGAAAGTTATTATTTGGTAAAATCTAGATGAGGAAGAGTACTGGCCCCATAATGCACTAAATGTCCTAATTTTTCTTATACTTTAAGAAGAACGTCAAGTATACATGTTTAAATTCAAACATGGTTATGGTCGACCTACTCTACCAGTAGTGTCTACCACTTGCGATCTTGAAGATTATACAAAAAACACACAAGTTAATACAAAATGAAACTGTGATAAACCCAGTAAAACAACCTATTTCAGACAAGATTCCTGCAGTACTTTTGAGATGGCTGGAATTATGATGGAGGACAATTTCACTGAAGTAAAGATGAACATGAACTAAACTATTTACCCACAAATATTACTTGTCTACTACATGAATAACCAAGTAATTTGTTCTTGTATCTGTTGATGTTTGTGTCCTGATAAAGAACCATCTACCTGGTATCTAATGACGTTTGTACTATAATACAATGATTGATAGTCAGAGATCGATCTTGTCAGGTATATCCTTTAATTACACAATGTGCAAATTACAAACTTAGATCAATATAACATGAAATAAAAAAAGAAAACAAATTAAGTAATTAGTTCTTTGTTATTTGATAAATCTTCAAATCAAATAAAGAAAAAGAAAAAGTAAAATCACACCGTTAGTTGCACAAGGTATAACAATAGGATGATATGCAGTGTTGTCTTCTTTTGATCTGACAGTGTCTTTAGCAGCACCTGGTCTCCTGGGTTGGTCAGTACAGCTTCCAAGTGGTTTCCTGTTATCAGTGTCAACTACATAGGTGAAGGATAGAAAGTCACAGATATAAGTAATGAATTATGAAGGGACACACTTCAGTTAATAAGGTAAAAAGTTACAGACATTAGTGATAAACTATAAAGGGACACACTTCAGTTACTGAGAGTAAAAAGTCACAGACATTAGTGATAAACTATAAAGGGACACGCTTCAGTTACTAAGGTAAAAAGTTACAGACATTAGTGATAAACTATAAAGGGACACGCTTCAGATACTGCGGGTTAAAGGTCACAGATATTAGTGATAAACTATAAAGGGACACACTTCAGATACTGCGGGTTAAAGGTCACAGATATTAGTGATAAACTATAAAGGGACACACTTCAGTAACTGTGAGTAAAAAGTCAGACATTAGTGATAAACTTTAAAGGAACATGCTTCAGTTACTGAGGGTTAAAGGTCACAGATATTAGTGAAAAATTATAAAGGGACACGCTTCTGTAATTGTGAGTAAAAAGTCAGATATTAGTGATAAACTCTAAAGGGATGTGCTTCAGTTACTGAGGGTTAAAGGTCACAGATATTAGTGATAAATTATAAAGGGACACACTTCAGTTACTGAGAGTAAAAAGTCAGACATTATTGATAAACTATAAAGGGATACGCTTCAGTAACTGTGAGTAAAAGTCACAGACATAAGTGATAAACTATGAAGGGACACACTTCACTTACTGGGAGTAAAAAGTCACAGACATTAGTGATTAACTATAAAGGGACACGCTTCAGTGACTGAGAGTAAAAAGTCAGACATTATTGATAAACTATAAAGGGATACGCTTCAGTAACTGTGAGTAAAAGTCACAGACATAAGTGATAAACTATGAAGGGACACACTTCACTTACTGGGAGTAAAAAGTCACAGACATTAGTGATTAACTATAAAGGGACACGACATAAAAAGTAGTTATTGATAAACTATAAAGGGATACGCTTCAGTAACTGTGAGTAAAAGTCACAGACATAAGTGATAAACTATGAAGGGACACACTTCACTTACTGGGAGTAAAAAGTCACAGACATTAGTGATTAACTATAAAGGGACACGCTTCAGTGACTGAGAGTAAAAATTCAGACATTAGTGATAAACTATAAAGGGACACGCTTCAGTATTCATATTGATGCTAGTGAGTTATATCTGCAAATATTCTTGTTAGATTTCAACCTTGTGATGATTAGAGAAGAATCTGACATATATATATACAGTTGTTTACCTCTGTGATTCCTCCGTAGCATGGTTAGAACTTTAGCACAGGTATTTTTTTCATTACAGAAAGAAAACACTTCCTCAGAGTCAGTAGAATACATGGCAAAACCAGGCTCTGGAATTGGAGCTGGGCGACTCTTTCCCTGTTTCTTTGTAATTGTGACTGCAGTTTTTTGTCTGAAATGAAATCAATTTGTTGCTTTCAAAAAGGTTACCTTATCTTGAGAAATTGATATTCATATATTTATATATACAATGGTTAAGGATAGGAAGTGCTTTATCTAAATCAGAGAATCTGAAACATGACATTTCTACAATGTGCTGAAAAATGCACAATGAAATTGATCATTTTGTTTAACAGAACTTAAAGAGATATAAATTGTTATTTTAAATTATTCTGCGGGTGGCATCAATCTTTTATTCAATACATCATTTACAAATTCATTATAACTTACATTAGGTAAGACATTACTTAAAACCAACAGGAGCATGGCTAGCATTTTGAAATTTCTTCATAGACTGACAGAGACCTCCTTGTAATTTGTAGATTACCAGGTATGAGACAGTTTTACAATGTCATAATGATCTCACTGGTAAATGTTCTATTTCCTTGTGCAATATGTTGTCACATGTTCCATGCTTGTTCGTATAACAGGTAGTTTTGTTGTTATTCTAATTTCAGAACATGTCACTCTTTGCTTGGATTGACTTAGATTTACAGATGTTGTCAAGGTTGCAGAAAACGATTACCCTTCTGATACACCTGGCCCCACTTGTATAAAATATCTCATTTTCAGATTTCCTCAAGCCCAGATTTTCCTCAGCTAATATCTCCTTGAAAATATCTTGTATGAAAATTCCGCAAGGAATTTCAGGACATCCTAGCTGATGCCTTCTTCCTGTTCCTTGAGAAAATTTTATACAAGCCGTTTTTGAGGAGATATCAGCTTAGGAAAATCTTGACTTGAGGAAATCTCAAGTTGAGATGTTTTATACAAGTGGGGCCTGGTCTTTTTCTCTTTGCACATTTCTAGGGGTTTCAATGACTGAAAATCTTTCTTTTGCTTGTGTTTTGCACTTGTTTCATCAAATTTGAGTTTGAGCTAAGTTATGTTGAAATGTCATGTATAGACTTGCATATATATAAATCCTGAACTAGAAATAAATTTATCTTATCTTAATACTTACTTCAGAGGAGCTGTCTTGACTCTCGATTTAACTCCAACCATCTTAGGTCTACAAACCTGAAAAGTAATAAAAATGTATACAAACATTATAATTCATAATACCCGTCTCCAATGTTTTACTAGGATAAAACATACCTGGTAACTAGATGATAAACATACCCTTTAATGGTAATACATTCTTGTTGTGGGATATATGTATCTAGATTTGAAAGACTGTTATATTTACCCTATGTGCCATGATTTTTGCCAAAAAAAAGGACCTTCACTAAGTAAAAAGCAGTTTCCATATGTGGTACAAAACCTTGAATTTCATCTATACAGAGTGAAATCTTTGAATGAAGAATTATTTTTCTTCTTATATCATTTGGTGATCTTTTTAGGACAGGTCTTACATAAGAACACCAATAATTATTCCTGTTACTAATAAGAGATATAATGCATAGTGGGGTCTTAAACAGAGTCCCACAGGAAAAGCAGGAGTCCAGGATTCAAACATCTGAGTCCAAAAGATCACTGTCCTGTTCATTTTATGACACTTTTAAAAACATTCATCTACACTAGAACAAAAGACTTGGTTACAATCCTATCTGGTTCCACAATAGCCAATTATATGTTTTTAATACAACATCTCAGTCATTAGCATTATTCATGTTTGACTACACAAATGTCATACCAGGGTTATTTTGAAATGGGGTTTCCTTAAGAAGTTTTAGTGGCAATGTAACAGAACAACATTTAAAAAGAGGCAATGGAGGCAACAACAGCTCAAACAAATTTTTGATCTCAGCTTGCTGAAGAATACAAACTGTCCATGATCAAACTATATTATTTTACATAAGCAGAATATACTTATACCTTCGGTTTCTGTACAGGAACATTCTTCTTTGAAACTTTTGATGGAATTTTCTTTTCCATACTTCAGTGTAGATTTGGCCAGGCTTGATCTTGAGGAATATTACATTCTACAAAGTTCCACGGTGCTAATGCCAAATATCTTAGCTTATATTTCTGTAACAGATGTCATTATTTATTTCAATCCCTCTGCTAGGATTTGAACCCAGGACCCCTTGCTTACTAGTCTGACACTCAAATTCTGACTTAATTTAATAGCATTTAATAGCATAAATAATGAACGCAGGCTTCACAGCCTCTATGTCCATATCATGTACATTAAAAAGCATAATAAAAACAAATTTAACTTCCAGTTTAACAGCTACAAAGTACATACATGTTAATGATCATTATGTGAAACAGTTATTTTTCCAATGTTCATCTAACATTATTTCAAATTAAATTTCTTATCGTGACCTCTGGTTCGGAAATAAGTTTTTTGTTACTCTACAATCATATAAATTATTTATTATCTTGAATACGTTTATTACATCTCTTGTCCTACGGTGTTGAAGCGTTGGAAGTCAAGTGAATGATAATCAGTGATAAGGAAGGGGTTGAAATGTATCGGGCCATATTGGCCCTTTTTTTCATTAATTAAGTTCAGTTATTAATACATTTCACAGTCCATCGAGGGGAGAGAAACGGACATTTAGATGTTTTACTTCTGAAATAACTTCAGTAATCCGTGTAATGTCTAGAACGCGTCTAGAACAGAGACTGGCGACAGGTGATATTATGTTTGATTCCTGTGCAATAATTACGATGTAGACAAGTGACGAGGAATTGCAACTGTTTCACTTTCAGAACTCTTCGCCTGATGCTATAGATTACTACAAAACACGCTTTAAAACGTTCAAATTCATACTTCAGAGGAACTACAGTTTGTTTACATACCGACTAGTTCACATCGAGTACGGACATGTCGGCAAAATTTAAACTTCGGATTTGTTTTGTTTTCGGGCTCGTTTATTTCACTTACCACTAAGATAACTCGGAAAAATCACACATGTTTCAGTTGTTAATTCATTAATTTTGTCCCATGAACATTACTTTGCTTGCAGCAGATAATATAGAAAGACACCACACATTCTTTGAAATTCGTGCCATCAGGACAGACAACACATTTTAGATCATCCATCCGACTTCCGGTTTGGAAGAAAAAAGAGCAATAGAATTGGAAACGAAACAAATATGGACGACACAAGTGCTATCCTTATATTTATTTGTATAGAATATAAGTTTTCAATGACTCAATTGATAATTGTTTAGCACAGTCCACTGCATTCCCATTGAAACTTTAACACGCGAATGAATCTTCTCCATTTACGGAGTTAGTAAACCATGGAACTGTCACAAGAACGGAACGGAATATCCGGATTTACACATTTTCCAACATTCATTATCAAACATTAGACATTATAAACAACGGATTAGTTGTCCCAACTCCCCGTCATTGTAAAGTTTAATCTCAAAATAATTGCAATGGATTTTATTTGTCTTTTACATCCGCGCATTTTGCGCAAAATTGTCAAACAGTTAAAATATATGTTGCACGATATGAGTTAGCATGCATACGTATGTATCACAACACAAGGTTTTCAATTACATAACTTTATAATACTCACCGATAAGAAAGAACTTTTCATCCATAGTAAATTATTTCCTGGCTTCAATGAAATCAGAAATCATAGTTAACAATGTCTAAAATATTTTTCATTCTTCCCTGAATTTTCAATAACTGATGACTTGGTGATCCAAAACTGCCACCGATATATTACATCGTGTGTAACATGGGATTGAAATAGAGACGTATATAGCACACTCTGGTTGAAAACAAGTTATCAAAATGGCTAAAAGTCTTTGTAACTTGAATGAGTTGTGAGCGGCGATCTATGATTACTAAGTAAATATTTTTTTCCAACCTGTGAATTTTGTAATTTCCTTAACCGTTCACAACGTCCATTTCCCGATGTTATTTATTCACACTCTCGTTATAGTTATTGTCTTGTCAACATGGATATGCATTGTAAATCAAATGAACATACAGAGGAGGCATTGTTCAACGGAATCTAAATTTAGATACGACCTATCTTTTAGTTGCGTAATCCTTAAAATACAAACATGAAAAAATACACACACAATTGAAAACAAAACTGTGGATGATATGTGACATACATCTTAAAAATTGTGAATTGTCTACATTAATGAATATTTTTGGTGGGGCAGGGCATTCGATCTAAGACCGTTTGGAGTCGAGGGCGAAGTGCTCTGTGCTACCGTTATGTGGCACAACACGAAGTGAAATTTTTGAAATCATATTAGATTACATATTGAATACACTCTTGTTTGTATTTGTGAGAAATGCAAAACACAGAAAACCAAAAATGACAGTCATGTGGCCAGTATTTTCAGAAGGTTTTAGATTTACATTGATGAATAATTATTCTAACACCGCAAAATTTCAATTATCGTCATGTTATTAGTGTGTGTAAGTTTACTTTAAATATCATAACTTAGGACAGATAACCTTTATTACACTGTGAAATGACACCTTAAGTATGTGCTTTATATTTTTTTTTTATGAATTATGTATAATTGTTGCTATGGTAAAAGAATTTCAAATATTGTGAAAAGGTAATAAGTGAATTTCTCGATGTTCCAATCAATTAATTGATCTTGTCCGTGTTGATTGTAATAATAAGTAGATCTTGATCACGCTGCAATCGGGAGTATCGTGAAAACCCAATTTGCATATTTAGATTACTCATTCAAATACATTGTCAAATTTGGACATAGTGACGTTTAAAGCAAAGACACTCCCACCGTACTCCCTTTGGTGTATTTCTTATATGGTTGTCATGGAGTCGTCTATGTGGTTATAAGGTCATTTGCATGCATGATGCTTTTTTACTTAACATTCAATGCCACGGATATAACCAACCTGTCGAGAGGTATTCCTGTCCAAAATTTCCAACTACATAGCAACATTTTTGCGGGAAAAGCTGAAGTATAGTGAGATTTTTAAGCTATAAGGATAGCCGTTTTTATATGATTTCTTACTATGTGTAATTATGTAATTACCCAAAACTTAATTTGCTAGCCATGTTTCAATTATAACTGTGTAGAATGACCTCATGTTTCAAGCTATACGCGTGACAGAGCTAAATAAATGAATGGGTTGTCACATGAACAAAGCTCCTCGAGAGAATGTTCTCCTTAATCCTACTCCTAATCGCGTCTATAAATCCCTAACGGTATTTCGATGGTTTAAATACACATTTTAAAATTTAAACTTTCCGGTCCTTGCTGATTCATTCATAATACATATACCAGCGGAAACGGAAATGCACGCGTAAAATGTTTGTGTTGCTCAATATCATTCATTAAAGCTTGAAACTTTACAAAGGTAAGTTGGGTATGCCACTCCGTCATTTACACTGGTCAGTGCAAGAATTGCAAGGGTAATTTGTCTGTCCAACGTCTTCATTTTCACTTTAGGATATCGTTTCGTTCATATTAGCCGTTAGACAACAGATAAATTGTCTATTATAGTCAAATTGAATTGTAAGAATATATTACAGGAGAATAGGAATTTGTCTTGAATATATATATTTTTTTGTCATTTTAAAATTCTAGGCATCCTGCTTTTGTCGCCAGAGCGAACCTTTCTTCCTCCCAGGAATCAAGAAAAGATTTTCAGCCATCAAGGAGGAAGTATTATTTTTCAAAAGAGCACTTCCGCCTGGTACTGCACCATGTTTCTGGTTCGGCAGAAGTCAGCGGTCTGGCGACAAGTGATCGATCTCGGTGCTTTCAATAGGCATATTAATTATCCTCACTTACGTATGGGAACCCCACGAGCCACGATTGCTTCAGTGTGGCAGAGTATATGGATGATTTAAATCGTTCTAGAAGATATCACGTCTGGTCTTGAAACTTGCTCAAAGTAGGGGTTATCCCCTCTAGAGTGAGGTCCAAGGTGACCTCTTCTCAGAAATGTGTGTTCTTAAGAACTTTCAATATCGTTAAGGGCATTGTCCTTCCACCTTTGGAGGAGTTGATGAAAGTCACGGAGATAACTGTCTGTCATAAGTCGATCCCAAACCCAGGCACACTGCTTCCTCAAATTCTATCATGTCTCAGCTCTTCCCCCTGGGAGACTTCACATCAGACCTCCGTTTCTGTTAGTCATTTGGATCTCATCATCAAGGGAGTGGGAAGCAATGTTTCCTTAAGACCAGTCTGTTAAAGTCTTTTCATTGGGTGACCATCAGGAACAATGTCTGTCTAGGGGTTCGTATGTATAGGTTAACTCCAACTGTACATGGACACCTCTGTGTCGTGTTAGAGACCTGACCTCCCCTTTTTGGAGGAGTGCTCGGAGGAAAAGTCATGGAGCACATCAACATGCTAGAGACTAATTAAGGGATATATTTTGACTGTCCAATCCCATTTGGGTATATTGCAGTCCAAGTTGATTTGTGTGGCAACAAGTTGTTGAGTACCTGGAAACATCGAGGCACCAGGTCTCTTGGCCTGCTTACTTTGCTATCCATATACATTGGCCATGAGTTACAGATGACTATTCTGGTAAAGTATGGTCAACACAGGTTGATATTCTTGTTAATATTCCCTCTCCATGCACCACCAGTCAAGCATAACATGAAACAGCTGAACCAATCAACCTGTTTACCTCTTCCCTCAACAGTCATTTGCATATGTTTGTTTTCAGGTGACGGACCCAAAGACATGGGCAGTGATATGTTTCTAATGTATCTTGGCCAGCAGGAGAAGAAGAATCCTTGAAGCCAATCTTTTAGAAAGAGTAGCAATAATGAAATATTGTTCAGACAGATGACTGGCATTGGCATACACTACTCTGATCTTCATCCAGCAGAGTTAAAATCAAAAGAAACACTACACATTGAATCAATGATCATGTTTTGTTTTATTTGTATTACATGTTTGAGATAAACAGAAATTATACAGTACAAATATCAAAAGTCAGACAACCAATGGCACACTTGTATTGAAAAGCTGAATGTAAACAAGACATTCACAGGACTGTCAGCATATGACATCCACACAAGTGCCATGACAATAACATTTAGGTGCGACATCATCACAAGGATGTGTCATACTAAGATAGAAGGACATCTACATGGTGTGACATACACTGAGATGTCAGGACATCCATTGGCGCGACATCCACTAAAATGTCAGGACGTCTAAATGCACAGAGTATGACATATATACAAATATGTCAGGACGTCCAAAGGGCATGACAAATATACAGGCCATGACATTTGTTATGAGATGCCAAGATGTCCACAGGTCATGACAACTATACCGAGATATCACGACAACCATAGGGTGTGACATATATACAATTATGTCAGGACGTCCACAGGTGATGACATTTAGTATGAGATGTCAGGACGTCCACAGGCCATGTTATTTGTTATGAGATGCCAAGATGTCCACAGGTCATGACAACTATACCGAGATATCACGACAACCATAGGGTGTGACATATATACAATTATGTCAGGACGTCCACAGGTGATGACATTTAGTATGAGATGTCAGAACATCCACAGGTGATGACATTTAGTATGAGATGTCAGGACATCCACAGGGCATGACATATATACTATACGATATGTCATAACACCCACAAGGCACAACATATATACTGAGATGTCGTGATGTCCACATGGTGTGACATATATTACTGGTATGTCATAACACCTACAAGGCACGACATATCTATTGAGATGTCGTGATGCCCACATGATGTGACATATATTCTATACTGATATGTCATAACACCCACAAGGCACGACATATATACTGAGATGTCGTGAAGTCCATATGGTGTGACATATATTAATGGTATGTCATAACACCCACAAGGCACGACATATATACTGAGATGCAGTGACGTCCACATGGTGTGACATAAATATTGATATGTTGGGATGTCCATAGGTCGTGACATACATGAGTTGTGGGGACATCTACAGGGTATGACATAACATTTACAGAAGTGTAAGACAAGACCTTGCTGTCATCATCACACATTAAGTAGGAAAACAAGACTGACTTTACACCATCTTTAACACTCCAGCCCAAGCATCAGTCAACCATATAAATAAAACATTACAATATAAATTAGTTTCTACTTCTGTATAACAGTACTCTATAAACACATATAACCACACTCCTCACACCAAATAAATACACTAATTGCACATAATCATATTGTACAGAACATTTCAAAAGTATTTACTAACAAGATCTTTACACAAATATATGCCTTATACTTTTCATTGCAGAGTTTTTTTTCCCCAATTTTTCTGGACAGTCATTAACTTTCGCTCACTGAAATCACCATAATTACTTTAAATACAAGAGTTTTCTGTGTGAAATAAAATTTTACAATTATTGACCATTTTAGATACTTCAAAAAGATAGTAAACCTACAGTACTTTAGTACAACAGTACACTACCGACGGTACAACAATGTACTTACAGTACACTACCGACAGTACAACAGTGTACCTAAAGTACAACAGTGTACTTAAGGCTCTACAGTGTACTTAAAGTAGGATACCGATGGAGCCACTGTGAACCTACAGTAGGATACTGATGGAGCCGCTGTGAACCCACAGTAGGATACTGATGGAGCCGCTGTGAACCCACAGTAGAATACTGATGGAGCCACTGTGAACCCACAGTAGAATACCGATGGAGCCACTGTGAACTCACAGTAGAATACTGATGGAGCCGCTGTGATCCTACAGTAGAATACTGATGGAGCCACTGTGAACCCACAGTAGAATACTGATGGAGCCACTGTGAACCTACAGCAGAAGTAATTGCTGGATGATTTTGACACAAATTATTCTAGTAACCTTTAAATTTGGTTGAGTCCATGTCTTTCTTTTGAACAGCTAGAACTTGGTGGTGGACGGATGGTGGATAATGGGTGCTGTACCATTATCTCATTCTGGCAGGTAAACTTAAACAAAAATTGCAATTTGACTAAATTACCTTTAGACCAGAAGGACCTGTAACACTGATCAGTGATTACCTTTAGACCAGGACCTGTAACACTGATCAGTGATTACCTTTAGACCAGGAGGACCTGTAACACTGATCAGTGATTACCTTTAGACCAGGAGGACCTGTAACACTGATCAGTGATTACCTTTATACCAGAAGGACCTGTAACACTGATCAGTGATTACCTTTAGACCAGGACCTGTAACACTGATCAGTGATTACCTTTAGACCAGGAGGACCTGTAACACTGATCAGTGATTACCTTTATACCAGAAGGACCTGTAACACTGATCAGTGATTACCTTTAGACCAGGACCTGTAACACTGATCAGTGATTACCTTTAGACCAGGACCTGTAACACTGACACTGTAACACTGATGATCAGTGATTACCTTTAGACCAGGACCTGTAACACTGATCAGTGATTACCTTTAGACCAGGACCTGTAACACTGATCAGTGATTACCTTTAGACCAGGACCTGTAACACTGATCAGTGATTACCTTTAGACCAGAAGGACCTGTAACACTGATCAGTGATTACCTTTAGACCAGAAGGACCTGTAACACTGATCAGTGATTACCTTTATACCAGAAGGACCTGTAACACTGATCAGTGATTACCTTTAGACCAGGACCTGTAACACTGATCAGTGATTACCTTTAGACCAGGACCTGTAACACTGATCAGTGATTACCTTTAGACCAGGACCTGTAACACTGATCAGTGATTACCTTTAGACCAGGACCTGTAACACTGATCAGTGATTACCTTTAGACCAGGACCTGTAACACTGATCAGTGATTACCTTTAGACCAGGACCTGTAACACTGATCAGTGATTACCTTTAGACCAGGAGGACCTGTAACACTGATCAGTGATTACCTTTAGACCAGGACCTGTAACACTGATCAGTGATTACCTTTAGACCAGGACCTGTAACACTGATCAGTGATTACCTTTATACCAGGACCTGTAACACTGATCAGTGATTACCTTTATACCAGGACCTGTAACACTGATCAGTGATTACCTTTAGACCAGGAGGACCTGTAACACTGATCAGTGATTACCTTTGGACCAGGACCTGTAACACTGATCAGTGATTACCTTTAGACCAGGAGGACCTGTAATACTGATCAGTGATTACCTTTAGACCAGGAGGACCTGTAACACTGATCAGTGATTACCTTTAGACCAGGAGGACCTGTAACACTGATCAGTGATTACCTTTATACCAGAAGGACTTGTAACACTGATCAGTGATTACCTTTAGACCAGGACCTGTAACACTGATCAGTGATTACCTTTAGACCAGGAGGACCTGTAACACTGATCAGTGATTACCTTTAGACCAGAAGGACCTGAAACACTGATCAGTGATTACCTTTATACCAGAAGGACCTGTAACACTGATCAGTGATTACCTTTAGACCAGGACCTGTAACACTGATCAGTGATTACCTTTAGACCAGGACCTGTAACACTGATCAGTGATTACCTTTAGACCAGGACCTGTAACACTGATCAGTGATTACCTTTAGACCAGGAGGACCTGTAACACTGATCAGTGATTACCTTTAGACCAGAAGGACCTGTAACACTGATCAGTGATTACCTTTAGACCAGGAGGACCTGTAACACTGATCAGTGATTACCTTTAGACCAGGACCTGTAACACTGATCAGTGATTACCTTTAGACCAGGACCTGTAACACTGATCAGTGATTACCTTTAGACCAGGACCTGTAACACTGATCAGTGATTACCTTTAGACCAGGACCTGTAACACTGATCAGTGATTACTTTTACACCAGAAGGACCTGTAACACTGAACAGTGATTACCTTTGGACCAGGACCTGTAACACTGATCAGTGATTACCTTTAGACCAGGACCTGTAACACTGATCAGTGATTACCTTTAGACCAGGACCTGTAACACTGATCAGTGATTACCTTTAGACCAGGAGGACCTGTAACACTGATCAGTGATTACCTTTAGACCAGGACCTGTAACACTGATCAGTGATTACCTTTAGACCAGAAGGACCTGTAACACTGAACACTGATTACCTTTAGACCAGGAGGACCTGTAACACTGATCAGTGATTACCTTTAGACCAGGACCTGTAACACTGATCAGTGATTACCTTTAGACCAGGACCTGTAACACTGATCAGTGATTACCTTTAGACCAGGAGGACCTGTAACACTGATCACTGATTACCTTTAGACCAGGAGGACCTGTAACACTGATCACTGATTACCTTGATATATTTCAGATTGGAAAAATATTCATATGCTGGAAAACTGTTTGGCACAGACAAGAGGAGGCAAACCATACATTCAATGCCAAAGGTCATCTTGGCTGGATAATGAAGATGGGTCCACAGTGAAACACAAGAGTACCTGTGAATGTCAATAAATCAAGGCAAGCTATAACCTGGGCAATAACACAGTCTTTCCCACTGCTAAAGATAACATTTTAGTTAAATAAAATTTAGATGATCAGAGTTGCCTTCACAGGTAAATCATATCAGGATATTGTTCTGCCTTCAAACTGGTGCACTGTCCTCAAACAGGTGCTCTGTCCTCAAACTGGTGCACTGCCCTCAAACTGGTGCACTGTCCTCAAAAGTAGCACACAGTTGTACACAACCTTCAGAATGGTAAACTGCCCTAAAAAATGTGCCAACATGCCCTTCCTTAAGATTGGTACAATACATATTATAGTTCTCCTTCAGGTGTGCAAATGACCTGTAGTGTAGGAGATAGAGTCTGGTCAAGATAAAGGAAGGATGGATGGAAAGACAGACAATGACCAGTAGTGTAGGAGATAGAGTCTGGTCAAGATAAAGGAAGGATGGATGGAAAGAAAATGACCAGTAGTGTAGGAGATAGAGTCTGGTCAAGATAAGGGAAGGATGGATGGAAAGACAGACAATGACCAGTAGTGTAGGAGATAGAGTCTGGTCAAGAGAAAGGAAGGATGTATGGAAAGACAGACAATGACCAGTAGTGTAGGGGATAGAGTCTGGTGAAGAGAAAGAAAGAATGGATGGAAAGACAGACATTGACCAGTAGTGTAGTTTTGTGACAGAGAATATGCTAGAAACCCTCTTTGATATTCCAATCAAATTTTAGGTTCAAATACTGGTGAAACTGGAGAAAATATTATGGTCCATAGCACTGGTGGAGCTGCTGAAAATGTTCAGGTCCATAGCACTGGTGGAAGAATGCATTTCCAAGATGTCAATCTTAGCTGCCATCTTTGATTTTAGACATCTTTAGGTTATTGCAGCCAGGTTACAGTTAAATCTCACAGGTGAAATTTGAGAAGATTCAGATAAAATCACCCAAATATCGAAATACGGAATAGAGGTTGTTGAAATCTGTTTTAATAATTTAAATCTGCACATTTACCAACTGCCAGACAAGCAGCTGTCCATCACATTAAATAAACAAAACAGTACAGTTACAGCTGAGCTTCCACTCTAGGCTAATTTTGATCGATTATTTACATCATATCCCTACAACACAATCACTCTCTTGTTACTTTGCCATTTCAATATAAAAAAAAATAATTTACTCTTCTATAAAACAAGTATTTTCAATGGCCAATTTTTTCGATGTTGTCATCCCATAATAAATAAAAAGTCATTTTTAACCTCAGATTTGATTTGCCAATAAATTGCCAAAGAGCGATCAAAGAGGACAGTCAATTATAAATGTCAAAAGTATTGCAATCTGTGAGGATTGTAAGGATTACCTTGGATCGTTTCTATGTTATTGATGTATATCACCAAAAACCGAGCGTACTCATGGCATAACCTAGGTATGGTTTATCTAGAGTACATCCCTGTTTTTGTCTTGTGATTTAATAACAAAAAAACAAAAAACACTCAAACACAATTGTATATCCATTGAAATGATATTGCCCTTGTCAAGAATTACATTAAATTTGCCCTAAATTTTCAATATAATAAATAAAGCACAAGTCATACTCTAAGAAACTGAAACCTGGTCAACTAATAGTTCTAACATTTCCTTTTATAGTTTGTTTCACCCAAATTGCACAAGAGTTCCTATTGAAACAGAGGATTTGGTGGTCTACTAGCATCCAACTTTTTGTTTTTGTTCAGGAACACCTGAGAAATCAAGATTTCATGGCTGTCATGTTGAATGTGACACACATCCAAGTTTTTTTTAGGACCATAAGGACAATTCATTAGAGAACAGTGAAAGTTTTCATTGATACCACTTTCTCTTCAAGAGAAGTAGAGATTAACAAGCTTAAGAGGGCGGCCATTTTATCGATACCACTTTCTGTTCAGGAGCTGTAGAGAAAAACAATCTTAAGAGGGCGGCCATTTTGAATGCGGCATGAATCAGAAATTTACTAAGAACAATATGTGGACCATCCACAGTAAGTGGAATTCCTGCTTCTGTAACAGATAGCAGGATTTTCAAGATGGCAGCTATGCATGCCACCTCCAATTCAGGTACAAAATGAAACATCTTAAATATCAACATCTGAACAATAAGGGAGATAACTCCTCCTTATATTTCCACACATGATCTTTTCCTTATATTTCCATACAGAGTACATAGGCCTAAGCAACAGTAATATGACCAAAGAATCCAGGTTTTGCTGATACACATACAAAATTTGTCATCTTTTCTGTCAAAACTACCGGAACACAATCAATTTTCAGGACTTACATGGGACGGATATATTCCATAACCTTTACATAGGAATCATGATGGCAAATGTTTGTGAAGCTAAAAAACAAATTCTATAATTCAAAACAAGCCAACACTTTCATACTTCATTAACAAACATGCACATCATTCACAGTTTCTTCCTTTTTGAAACAAGGTCAATACATATATCACACATTCTGTGTATATCACACATTCTGTCTGTATATCACACATTCTGTCTGTGTATATCACACATTCCCTTTGCGTATGTAACACAATCCCTTTGTCTATATCACACATTCTGTCTGTGTATATCACTCATTCCCTTTGGGTATGTAACACAATCCCTCTGTCTATATCACACATTCTGTCTGTGTATATCACTCATTCTCTTTGTGTATGTAACACAATCCCTCTGTCTATATCACACATTCTGTCTGTGTATATCACTCATTCTCTTTGTGTATGTAACACAATCCCTCTGTCTATAGCACACATTCTGTCTGTGTATATCATACTTTCCACCTGTGTTAGCTCGTGAATGAAATCACTGAAGTAATTAAGTTGTATATATATGAATATATATACAACTTAGTGTATATATATATATATATATATATATATATATGCATAAAACTGATTTAAAACAAAATAATTATTAAACATAAAATCTCTCCTTGACCAAAAATATCTTTGCATCTGATCAGACATCATACAATTCACAAACAGTGCCATAATATCTTTGAAAAATTCAAATTCTTCATTCAGAACTTGATTAATTGTAGATATAAAAGAACCGATTTCTCAATGACGATACAAATTTGTATATGTACAATATCACTTAACTACTCGATAGGAAATATCCACATTTATGAGTTAATTCACTGAGGAGAAATGCACACATGAGCAATTAACTCGCTGAGGATAAATTCACACACGAGTAATTAACTCACTGAGGAAAAATACACACATGAGCAATTAACTCGCTGAGGATAAATACACACATGAGCAATTAACTCATGGAGGATTTATACATCCATGAGCAGTCAACTCACTGAGGATAAATACACACATGAGCAATTAATTCATTGAGGGTAAATACACACATGAGTAATTAACTCACAGAGGATAAATGCACACATGAGCAATTAACTCGCTGAGGATAAATACACACACGAGTAACTAACTCATTGAGGATTTATACATCCATGAGCAGTCAACTCACTGAGGATAAATACACACATGAGCAATGAACTCGCCATGGATAAATACCCACATGAGCAATTGACTCACCGAGGATAAATTCACACATGAGCAACTAACTCATTGAGAATATATACATCCATGAGTAGTCAACTAACTGAGGATAAATACACACAGGAGCAATTAACTCGCCATGGATAAATATACACATGAGCAATTAACTCACTAAGGGTAAATATGCAAACAAGTAATTAACTCACTGAGGAGATAAATATATTAAATATGCCTAGTCATGTTCACATCCCCAGTTAGAGAACAATGTTAGAGAGCAAATGGGAAAAAAATTAATTACTAAAAAAAATCTACAATTTGAGTAATTAAAAGATGTTTTTAAACATTTTAAATTATGAACTTAAAACATTTCTAGTAATAAAAATAAATCTTCATTCTTAAATGACTAGAACTAAACTATTTATTTATGAAGATATGAAATATGTGACATAATTTTGGGAATAGAAAATAAATGCCATTTTGCTTAATCCTTTTCAGGACATACTCTTTAACTTTTTATGAAGCACTGTGAAACACATGATATACAAACAGCTATTAATTAAAATTTAACAAAGACCTTCTTAAAACTTTTTTGAACTTTACGAAGAAATTTAAATAACAGAACATGATTAACTGACAGTTTCATTTCACAACCAGTGGCTGTTGTCTGCAAATGATACAGGAATGAATACAAACACTACCATGTCAAGGTACAAAAAAACAAATCATGATAAGGCATCCCTCGCAACAGTTTAACAAAGGCCCCAGAGGCCTGTATCACTTACCAGCAGGTACAGTCATATAAAGTAATAACAGAACTATGTACATCCCTGTAATCAAAACAGAGTATCCTCGACACCAAGTACTATCAATAACTATGAGTAGAATTGTATAAAATGTGGCAATACCATTTGCTAACTAAATTATTCAGTGTGACAGAGCTTTGTTAGAGTATACCTGGTTTTCAATGTAACTTTGTAGTCTTTTTCAATTATTTGATGATATTAACAGAAGACCAAAATTAATTTAGCTGCTTCCGTAGTGCAAACAAAACACTCAAGTATTAAATATCAGTTCAATATCTCCAAAAAGCTCTAAGTTCAAAGGTCAATAAGTTGAGTGTTACCTAATGAAATTCTTGATCTGCCACTTTATGTACCAAACTTCAAATTGTCCTGAACAAAAGAAGTCGTCAATTAACTTCACCGTGGTCTAGAATTTTCCCAGATTTGAAAGGTACCTGTGAACACTGCTGGTAAGAACACCCTAAAAATTACTTCTGCATTTCCTTTTCTCCATTACTGACGAATATAACAGACACAATGTATCTGCCAATCTTCATTCTCTCTTAATTCTCTACTTAGTTAACGAGAATAATCTGTTTTGAATACATTTATACTTAGGCCCAACCATTCGAAAAGCATAACATACAACATCAATAAAATATAGATTTGTTTCATTTTGTACTTATTTAGTATTATGAATAAATCAATTTTAGGTTCTGAGTCATGTGTATGGCTTGTTGGTAGACTTAAATCACAAATATACAGCCTTTCAAACCAGAGCAAGAACAAATATTCAAGCACCTTGTTAAATTCCCTTCCCTATGTCATCAGAGGACCAGTGGGTCCTCCGTAGGACACAAAGCAATACATTTAATGATGAAAAGTTGAAGATGAGGAAACTATACATTGTTCTATGGTCAGTTTCCAATACCACAATAGGACAAAATTTGAGATGATTTTAAGAACTTAATGAGGCTCTGTATGCATATATCATACCTATCGTCTGTGTACAAAAGAGAGTGAATTGCTGAACTCACAGATCATTGAGGAATTATCCATGATATATGAAGTTTATTGAGTATCTAGTGTTTATCATTACACAACAAGTTCCAATAGCCAACCTTGGGTATACACAATATGTTCCCATAGCTAGCCTTGGGTATACACAATAGGTTCTCATAGCTAGCCGTGGGAATGCATAATAGGTTCCCATAGCTAGCCTTGGGTATGCACAATAGGTTCCCATAGCTAGCCTTTGGTATGTACAATAGGTTCCCATAGCTAGCCTTGTGTATGCAAAATAGGTTCCAATAGCTAGCCTTGGGTATGCACAATAGGTTCCCATAGCTAGCCTTGGGTATGCACAATAGGTTCCCATAGCTAGCCTTGGGTATGCACAATAGGTTCCCATAGCTAGCCTTTGGTATGTACAATAGGTTCCCATAGCTAGCCTTGTGTATGCAAAATAGGTTCCAATAGCTAGCCTTGGGTATGCACAATAGGTTCCCATAGCTAGCCTTGGGTATGCACAATAGGTTCCCATAGCTAGCCTTGGGTATGCACAATAGGTTCCCATAGCTAGCATTGGGTATGCACAATAGGTTCCCATAGCTAGCCTTGGGTATGCACAATAGGTTCCCATAGCTAGCCTTGGGTATGCACAATAGGTTCCCATAGCTAGCCTTGGGTATACACGACAGGTTCCAATAGCTAGCCTTGGGTATGCACAATAGGTTCCCATAGCTAGCCTTGGGTATGCACAATAAGTACCCATAACCAGTTTTTGTGTACATGACAGAAACCTATAGTCAACCTTAGGTGTAAATGACATGTTCCCGTAGCCACCCTTGGATGCACATGGGAGGTTTCCATAAAAACACATGATGTATCAGTTGACTGGATAGTCCTTGATAGTAACGATAAATAGTTGCCTTTGATTCTCACACAAAATACACAACATTACAGCTCCCGATGCCACTGTTAATCACTCAAACTTGACAACAAACCCCTTGTGACCTAGAAGGGTTTCCATGGAGATGACTTCCATGAATCTTCTGCAGTCCGGCTGTATAAGAAGACTAGAAGAGCTCCTAAGAACACCACTTCTGTAAGACATTTTACTCCCTCACATTCAACGTTTAACTCTCTTCTTTCCATTGGTATAGAGGACCTAACATTTTCAACTGGGTAATATTCAAATGTTGCCAGCACAATCATCACAGCACTTCAGGTGCTAGCACTCAAAGTAAGAATATTGTTAGAATGCCAGACAACACACAGTGGCATCAATATCACACTAGGTCAGCACTGACATTCCTTATATTCACAATTTTTCCTATCTCAGTCCCACAATGCAGTCTAGTCGTACAAGGATGACATAGATTATGCCTCAAGTGTTACCATCACCAATATCTCTATAACATCTCCACGTATCACCATGGCTGACATGTTTGGGTTATTTCCACATGCTACCATCCCTGACATGTTCGTGTCATCCTCCACTTGTTACCATCCCTGACACGTTCATGTCATCCTCCACTTGTTACCATCCCAGACACGTTCATGTCATCCTCCACTTGTTACCATCCCTGACACGTTCATATCATCCTCCACTTGTTACCATCCCTGACACGTTCGTGTCATCCTCCACTTGTTACCATCCCAGACATATTCGTGTCATCCTCCACTTGTTACCATCCCTGATATGTTCGTGTCATCCTCCACTTGTTACCGTCCCTGAAATGTTCGTGTCATCCTCCACTTGTTACCATCCCTGACATGTTCGTGTCATCCTCCACTTGTTACCATCCCTGGCATGTTCGTGTCATCCTCCACTTGTTACCATCCCTGACATGTTCATGTCATCTTCAACATGTTACCATCCCTGACATGTTCATGTCATCCTTCACTTGTTACCATCCCAGACATGTTTTTGTCATCCTCGACATGCTTCCATCTCTTACATGTTGATAAGTCTCATACAGCCATTCCCAGGAAACTTTTAAACTTTGTCCTCTCCCAGTCCTTTCAGATGAAACACACACTTTGAAGAATGATTTGCATACATATTTGACTAGGAGCTAACTTCTTCCTTTATCTTGCGTTCCACTGCTTGCTCAAGGCTGAGAGAAGGGGCACCTCTGGAAGTCCCCACAGCTGCTGATGCATGGGGTCCTTGTGAAAGGTTCAGGGGCTGACCATCAGGGCTAAATCTATGAAAAGCAGGAAGAAGCATTACTGTTAAAGATCATGTGACATCATTCTGGGGTGTTTGTAGATAATATGTGGTGTGTTAGTCTGTGTGAAGTCAGTGTTGTGTATGTGTATAGTCAGTGTGTTGTGTGTGTATAGTAAGTGTCTTGTGTGTTTATAGTCAGTATGTTGTGTAAAGTCAGTGTGTTGTGTGTGTATAGTCAGTATGTTGTGTATAATCAGTATGTTGTGTAAAGTCAGTGTGTTGTGTGTATAGTCAGTATGTTGTGTGTAGTCAGTGTGTTGTGTGTGTATAGTCACTGTGTTGTGTTCAAAGTCATGACTTTTATAAATAACTGCTGATTTGGACAGTCAGGAGTAGCATTTTAAAATAAAAGTTTGCTGATGGCAATGATGACGGACAAAGAAGGATTGCTACAGGCCATATCGAGACCCTTAGGGTCAGATGACCTAGCAATATGTACAGTAAACAACTGAATTTAAGATAATTGATTTAAAGTTTTGTACAGTAAATGACTGTACTAAATCAAGATAACTAATTGATTTATAAATTTACCATACCTTACTTGTGGACTCTGCCCATAAAACTGCGCCAGCTGTTGCATGCCAGCCAAGTGCTGGTTGTATCCAGGCATCACATTCATAGAATGCATTGACGAGTAGGCAGCGCCTATGAAGGCAGGGTGCATTGCACTTGGATACATTCCTGGGGCAAACACTCCTGTGGAGGGGACCTGCCCCTGGATTGGCATGTGGCCCTGGTAGCCTGACTTTGGGGGAGATTCTACTGTGGATGAATTAGTTTCAGCACTGTTGTCATTTTCCATGGACTGTCCTGGATTTTGACCTATCTTTTGCAGGTTTTCCATACTGTCATATTTTCTCATTAGTTTGTCCTTTAAGTGAAACATTGTTGTGGCATGTAACTGTTCCTTTTGGTTACTCCTACCCGGCATCTCTGAAGCCAGGTCTGGTGGACGGGCAAGTGCTGCGGCCAGTCCATTATTATTGAGAGCTGGTAGTCCCTGTGATCCTAGCTGTAGAGGCATATTTACCAGCCCTGCCCTGTTTGGGGACTGCAGATGGGCCAAAAGCTGTGGATGGGCTTCACCTGCAGAGAGCTTTGGCTTCTGGAGTTTGGGGGAGTTGGGAAGGTCAAGTTTAGGCATGTCATCTATTATAATAGCCGGCAGTGCTTCAGTTTTCTGTTCAGCTCCCTCATTACTAATCTGGATCGTTTGTTTAAACTCAGTATCTTCATCTGTTGCTGGAATCATGTGTTTACGCATCTTGTCGAACTTCTTGTGGAACACCTGCATCACAACCAGATATATGAGTTTAACATTTGGTTAAAGTCTATAGTTAATTATCTGAAATGATCTGTAGAGATATCTACCTATATCTAATCCACTGACTTCACAGATCTTTCTCAAACACACATTAATTTGGGAAATGTGATGGGACAGGATTGCCTTGGTTCCTTCTCAAACACACATTATTTTGGGATGTACGATTGGACAGGATTGCCCCAGTTTATTCTCAAACACACATTAATTTGAACTTTTACAAATTTATCTTTAGTTTTCAGCCTTTTCTTGCTATATGTGAAACCTAGGTTTTTGATAAGATATTTGACCAAGTTAATAATCCACTTCAATAACAAGAGCTGTTTCAGAGAGCAGACATATGGATTTCGGAACAGACCACAGACAAAGAGTGGTTTGAACAGCACACCTATAGAAGGAATAGAGAAGTACCTCAACAGGTGGGTTCTCATCTTCACACTGATCAGTAGCCATCGGTGATGTGGGCTCCTCAACAGCCTCTTTGGACTCCTCTTGGCAGTGCTCTGCTGGCTTGGACGGTGTAGGCCACTGTTGTGGACGACAGGGGACAGGGATTCGGATGGATGATACATTGTCAAATGCACTGTTGTCAGCACCCATGTGAACAGCCTATTGTAATAAAATACACAAGACTCAAATGACATCTAATGAGTGAACAAATTCCATAACAAAGTGTTCATTAATGTTATACCCATCTAGATTTTTATTGTCAGTTTAACCATGAAATTATCTCCCTTACCTGTGTCGACAAAATTAGATTAACTCTGAAGTTAACTCCCTTACCTGTGTAGACAATGTCAGATTAACCCTGAAGATATCTCCCTTACCTTTGCAGACAATGCCTGATTAGGACTGAAGTTATCTCCCTTACCTGTGTAGAGGATGTCAGATCAGCCATCAAGTGATGTTGTTCAGTCTTTTTCTTTATCGAGTCAGAGAGTCGTGACAAGTACGCAGGGTGGCGGTCAACTAAAAGGGACTTCTTCCTTGCATGGAGATTGTAGGAAGCTCCAATACTTCCTCGTCTCATGTCTGGCATCAATGTGGTGTTGAAGTCTTCTGATGAGAGCCTGTCTTGATCCTGTTGGTAATTAACAGGCATTTGCTGCTGCTGTGTGTTCCCACGTGATGCTCTACCCTCACTATTCATGTGGAAACTGTAACAGCGTCTGCGATTACCAAAGTCATCCGCACCCATTGAACCTGAGCGAGAACGAGGGTTTGGAGAACTTGGTGATGAACCGTAAGGAAGTAGTGTGTCACGGTTCATTACTGTGTCCCGCGACAAGAGCATGTCACGATTCATCTGTGGACTTGCCCGAGAGCTACAAGCACTTGAATCAGCAGGCGTTGATATGGGTATAAACTCATGGTTACGATTTAGATAATGTTGATACTCCTCGGGAATAGGACTACTGGCAGCACTGTTACAGATGGACGGTGGCATGCTATCCCCGTGTATGGCAGCTCGTTTCTCTAACTTATCACTCAATTTGTTTACCATTTTATTTATATAGTCTCTATCTAAAGTGTTTCTTCGTCTACTTCCCTCCTCAATGGTATGTAACCGAGGCCGTGATACAGTTTCCCGATCAAGGGTGTGACAGCGGCGTCGAGGAGGATCCGGAACAAGCCCATAGAAACTCTCTTCACGGTAGAAGGTTCCGTATGGTGTTTTGAGCACAACCTGCTGTTGATGTCCCTGCATGTCGGCAGGACCACGAAGAGGCAAGACTGGGGCCCCACTGATCTCCACTGACGGCTCATAACCTGGGGCACTTAATGATGGCTCGGATGGTGAAGAACCCTCAGATCTAGAAGGACACACAGTTATGATAATAACAAACACATCTACAAGCAGTGCCAAGGGTATGTATTACAATTTCATACTGCAGCCACTTTTCTCTTTCGATCAATCTCAAAATCTGAAGACAAACAAGTAGTAAATATATAGGATATCCTTTTATACGAAATGTTAAAAAAAAACAAAAGATGCTATGATTTTGCATTGCAAAAACTGAAAGAAAAAATATTTACAAGGTGGAATATTGATATTGAGGGTTTGGATATAGCAACTATAGTTCTCATACTCTATTACATTGATAAAAATTATTCTGGAAATGCTGTAACAGAATTGACGGTGTGTTTGACAGTGATAAGCTAAGCCACATTGTTACCTGGAATCAATAGCCTCCTGTAGGTTAGCTTTTAAATCCATAGGGTCACTCTCTGTTCCGTCAACACCCTGGCATGCCTGACCTGAACAAAAGAAAAAAACATATTTATATTATTGTGTAGTCTGACCTTGACAAATATCAAATAGATCATTTCTACATCATCGTCTAATCTGACCTGGACAAATAGATTATTTCTACATCATCGTCTAGTCTGACCTGGACAAATAGATTATTTGTACTTCATCGTCTAGTCTGACCTGGACAAAAAAATCATTTCTACATCAACATCTAGTCTGACCTGGACAAAAAAATCATTTTTACATCATGGTCTAGTCTGACCTGGACAAATGTTTAAATTATTGACTAGTCTGACCTGGTAATGAGATGATGGTAAGGATAAGGGGATGAGGAGAATGAAATGAATACCAAGAATTCATTTCTACGTACCCAGAGATTTCTCAGAGTGGAGAGTGTTAAGGGTACGCAGATCTGTGGTTTTCATCAGTAGTTTGGCAAACAATGTGTTGTCGTGCATGTGGTTAGTGTTGATGATGGTCTGCAGGCTTTCTGTTAACTTTGTCTGAATCTTCTCAATCTGCTCCAGGTTCCTTAGCCCAGGGCGGTCTGAAACACATGTCATATTTATGTAAAAGCACTTCACAGTATGTGAGAATTTAACACTTATCCTAAAATCTACAGTTGTCTATATCTCTTTGAGGAAATCCCAACAGCCCTCAACACCAGCAAAAATACCAGGACTTCAGGGATATTGTTTGTAAAATGTTGCTGATTTATTGAAAAAAAGTCAGAGTCAAGGTCATGAACTTTCCACTAACTTGAGAATTTTTCACATAAGCATATTACAATGAGAAATCCCCAAGGAGAGAAATCCCCAAGAAGAGAAATCCCCAAGGAGCCTTTTAAAGCACTTGAAATGTTGATCTACATAAACTGTAAATGGTATAGAACTGTTTTTCTCTATTAATGCATATACTGTTATGTATATATATACTCTAGTAGTGGTAACATATTCTACAATGTCAAACTCAAGAAATGTTAGAAACACCTCAAATGCCAGCTGGAGTTCCAGACAGAACTTATGTCATACCAGTATTTATGTATTGTTAGGTAACTTCAATTTGACAAAGATCTGTGTCTACAAAGACAAAAGTTTAACATGGGCTATTTGTAGTATTTCAAATGTCTACCATTTCAGAATAGTAAAACCAAAACCAAACAGAAACTGTGTTTCATGTATAAATACCATATACCATTCCTCAGTATTTATTGAAGTGTTTTCATGAGGTGAAATTGTTACAAATTTTTATAGGAAAGCCAAAATTTCAAACTTTTAATAAATTTACCTGGAGATAAGAGAACAACAGCAGAAAACAGGGCAATCTCATCATCTGTCAAGTTGAGCTTGTTGAAACGCTCCGCAAAGTCAAACATAGAATCTAGCAGAAAACCAGCACTAGTGGTCACCTGCAATCACAAGGTTAATTACAAGGTTAATTACAATGCACAATCATACTCTATTTTTATAGGAAAATGATTTCCTCAAAAATTCTCTAGACAAAAAATTTATTTTCTGAACAAACTGATCTTTCTCCTACTGGATCCTTACTCTCCATCCCTTGGAGAAGGGATACAGTAATGGATGGTCAACACCAAATCTTATCAAAATGAAATAATGATTTTAAAAAGAATTCCCTCTACTTCCCTTATTGGGTCCTACTCCTGTGCCCCAAGTGAGGGTCCTATTCCTATATCCCAAAGTGAGGGTCCTATTCGTATATCCCAAAGTGAGGGTCCTATTCCGATATCCCTAAGTGAGGGTCCTATTCGTATATCCCAAAGTGAGGGTCTTATTCCTATATCCCAAAGTGAGGGTCCTAGTCCTATATCCCAAAGTGAGGGTCCTATTCCGATATCCCTAAATGAGGGTCCTAGTCCTAGATCCCAAAGTGAGGGTCCTAGTCCTATATCCCAAAGTGAGGGTCCTATTCCGATATCCCTAAATGAGGGTCCTAGTCCTAGATCCCAAAGTGAGGGTCCTAGTCCTATATCCCAAAGTGAGGGTCCTATTCCGATATCCCTAAGTGAGGGTCCTATTCCTATATCCCTAAGTGAGGGTCCTATTCCTATATCCCTAAGTGAGGGTCCTATTCCGATATCCCTAAGTGAGGGTCCTATTCCGATATCCCAAAGTGAGGGTCTTATTCCTATATCCCAAAGTGAGGGTCCTATTCCTATATCCCTAAGTGAGGGTCCTAGTCCTAGATCCCAAAGTGAGGGTCCTATTCCTCTATCCCTAAGTGAGGGTCCTATTCCTATATCCCAAAGTGAGGGTCCTAGTCCTATATCCCAAAGTGAGGGTCCTATTCCGATATCCCAAAGTGAGGGTCTTATTCCTATATCCCAAAGTGAGGGTCCTATTCCTATATCCCTAAGTGAGGGTCCTATTCCTCTATCCCTAAGTGAGGGTCCTATTCCTATATCCCAAAGTGAGGGTCCTAGTCCTATATCCCAAAGTGAGGGTCCTATTCCGATATCCCAAAGTGAGGGTCTTATTCCTATATCCCAAAGTGAGGGTCCTATTCCTATATCCCTAAGTGAGGGTCCTATTCCTCTATCCCTAAGTGAGGGTCCTATTCCTATATCCCAAAGTGAGGGTCCTAGTCCTATATCCCAAAGTGAGGGTCCTATTCGTATATCCCTAAATGAGGGTCCTAGTTCTATATCCCAAAGTGAGGGTCCTAGTCCTATATCCCAAAGTGAGGGTCCTATTCCGATATCCCTAAGTGAGGGTCCTATTCCTATATCCCAAAGTGAGGGTCCTAGTCCTATATCCCTAAGTGAGGGTCCTATTCCGATATCCCTAAGTGAGGGTCCTATTCCGATATCCCAAAGTGAGGGTCTTATTCCTATATCCCAAAGTGAGGGTCCTATTCCTATATCCCAAAGTGAGGGTCCTATTCCTATATCCCTAAGTGAGGGTCCTATTCGTATATCCCAAAGTGAGGGTCCTATTCCTAAATCCCTAAGTGTGGGTCCTTTTCCTTTTCATTAAGGGATCCCCAGTGAGGATCCAACTCCTGTTCCAAAAGTGAGGGTCCTACACATTTATCCCCACTGAGGGCCCTCTTTCTGTGCCCCAAGTGAGGGTCCTACCACTGTGCCCAATGTTGAGGGTCTTTCTCATGTGCCTCTTTGAGGTCCATACCCGTCTTCTCCCAGTAAAGCTCAAGTTAACATTTAGAAAAAATCTAAGTCTTTTTCACCGAAAGACAGTCCAAACCAGATATGGCTTATTTTTGGTTTTATCCAAACAAGGCATGAATTGATTATAAAACTCTACCTCTATTTCCCTACTTTGCCCCACAACTGTTTACAAGGGGACCTTGCCCTTCCTTCATACAAAATTGAGTTTCTTCACTTCAGGAAATCTCATCCAGAATCTTGTGATAGATTATACTTTATATCAGCATGGAGACTAATTTAAATTAGCAAACAAGCTGTTCTCACAAACTGCAGGGCACCTGTTTACTTACTGTAGATGGATGTCGTTTGAATAGTTTGCCACATGTGAACAACATGGTGTTTGTATCAGGATCAAACAGGGCAGCAAATCGCACCAGAAGCACCTCAAATGTTGATGCCTACAATCAAATTAATGTAATGATTTCCACTTTTCAAATGATGTAGCTGTGAGGATAATTATCTCCACTTGTCGAAGGAAATAGTTGTGAGTTAGAATTACAACAAGAGGCCTAGCGGCCTTGACAGTCACCTGAGATAAGCGATAATGAATATAAAGGTTAAAGGATAGTTATCAAGTGTCATGAAACAGAAATTGTGACACTTAATATTGACAGTGTCAACATATGCACTCCATCAGAACTGTTCTCCTTCACTGATAATTCTTATACAGTTATTTCTAGTGGGAAATAACCAATGTTATCCTCAAAAATACATTTCTTCAATTAAAGTCTTAAGAAAATATATGTCCCCAAGAAGGCTGTATAATTCACAATATTGGTTCATCTTAAGCTAGTGAAGGGTTCTGTAAAATTTTCATTGAAATTAAATCAGGGCTTTTCAGGAAGAAGTCAAAAATGTTAAATTGTTTACGGACGCATGACACCAGATGAAGGAGATTAGAATTGGTCACCATGTGACTTTGTCTCAGGTGACCTATCTCGTCAAAGAATATAGCTGTGAGATTACTGATGCCCGCTATATCTGAACAAGTTCAATACTTATAAACAGGAAAATACTTCTTTTTTGTACACAGGAACAGTATCAGTAGACTCTTACAGGCTAAATTTCACATCCTAAATAATTTATTTTATCATTAGTTATAGAATCAGTAAAATTTAAATCCCCGAAAGAGTGTCAAAGTTCAAAATTGTTAAACCTACCTTGAGCAATGTAACTTGGTCATCTGAATTCAAAAGGGCAAACCCTGGAATGGCTTTGGCAAAATCAACAACTGACTTAATGGCTGGTGAAAAAAATTCTGAGAACTCTTCCCAGCAGTTGTCATTAGGATCTGTAGCAAGGTTAACATTGAGTGGACAAGCCTGGAAAAGTAAGAATTAACATCAGTAACAGACAGGGATAATTAACACACACAGTACAGGGACCTAGGACAGAACACGTAGATAACTAACACACACTAGTACAGGGACCTAGGACAGAACAAGTAGATAACTAACACACACTAGTACAGGGACCTAGGACAGAACAAGTAGATAACTAACACACACTAATACAGGGACCTAGGACAGAACAAGTAGATAACTAACACACACAGTACACTGACCTAGGACAGAACAAGTAGATAACTAACACACACAGTACACTGACCTAGGACTGAACAAGTAGATAACTAACACACACTAGTACAGGGACCTAGGACAGAAAAAGTAGATAACTAACACACACTAGTACAGGGACCTAGGGCAGAACAAGTAGATAACTAACACACACTAGTACACTAACACACACTAGTACAGGGACCTAGGACAGAACAAGTAGATAACTAACACACACTAGTACACTGACCTAGGACAGAACAAGTAGATAACTAACACACTAGTACACTGACCTAGGACAGAACAAGTAGATAACTAACACACACTAGTACAGGGACCTAGGACAGAACAAGTAGATAACTAACACACACTAGTACAGGGACCTAGGACAGAACAAGTAGATAACTAACACACACTAGTACAGGGACCTAGGACAGAACAAGTAGATAACTAACACACACTAGTACAGGGACCTAGGACAGAACAAGTAGATAACTAACACACACTAGTACAGGGACCTAGGACAGAACAAGTAGATAACTAACACACACTAGTACAACACACACTAGACCTAGGACAGAACAAGTAGATAACTAACACACACTAGTACAGGGACCTAGGACAGAACAAGTAGATAACTAACACACACTAGTACAGGGACCTAGGACAGAACAAGTAGATAACTAACACACACTAGTACAGGGACCTAGGACTGAACAAGTAGATAACTAACACACACTAGTACAGGGACCTAGGACAGAACAAGTAGATAACTAACACACACTAGTACAGGGACCTAGGACAGAATAAGTAGATAACTAACACACACTAGGGACCTAGGACTGAACAAGTAGATAACTAACACACACTAGTACAGGGACCTAGGACAGAACAAGTAGATAACTAACACACACTAGTACAGGGACCTAGGACAGAACAAGTAGATAACTAACACACACTAGTACAGGGACCTAGGACAGAACAAGTAGATAACTAACACACACTAGTACAGGGACCTAGGACAGAACAAGTAGATAACTAACACACTAGTACAGGGACCTAGGACAGAACAAGTAGATAACTAACACACACTAGTACAGACCTAGGACAGAACAAGTAGATAACTAACACACACTAGTACACTGTACACTGACCTAGGACAGAACAAGTAGATAACTAACACACACTAGTACAGGGACCTAGGACAGAACAAGTAGATAACTAACACACACTAGTACAGGGACCTAGGACAGAACAAGTAGATAACTAACACACACTAGTACAGGGACCTAGGACAGAACAAGTAGATAACTAACACACACTAGTACAGGGACCTAGGACAGAACAACACACACTAGTAGATAACTAACACACACTAGTACAGGGACCTAGGACAGAACAAGTAGATAACTAACACACACTAGTACAGGGACCTGGGACAGAACAAGTAGATAATTAACACACACTAATACAGGGACCTAGGACTGAACAAGTAGATAACTAACACACACTAGTACAGGGACCTAGGACAGAACAAGTAGATAACTAACACACACAAGTAGATAACTAACACACTAGTACAGGGACCTAGGACAGAACAAGTAGATAACTAACACACACTAGTACAGGGACCTAGGACAGAACAAGTAGATAACTAACACACACTAGTACAGGGACCTAGGACAGAACAAGTAGATGACTAACACTCACAGTTGCTGAAGAAGGGTAACACAAGAAAGTAAAAAGAATGTCTATAAGCGCATTACAGAAGAAACACTGACCATTTGAGCAGGACAGTTGACAAACTCGCCCGTCTGCAATGCTGCCTGGCGCATGGTCTTTACACGGTCAAGTGTGAAGGCACACGTCTGTCTGTGTGCGTTTATCACATGCTGTACAAGGTCTAGTGGATTCTGAAGGACACCACTAAGTTGATGTGTAGGAGTCTGTGAATTCATTTTCTGCATCTGTTCGATGATTCGTGCCTTTTCCTTTTTGGGAACCCGGCCAAACCGCACAGCTGTGAACACGAGTATAAAATTAGTATACCAAACAGTGTAAACTTGTCAACATCAGTGTAGACTGCTTATTATTTCCATTAACATGACAAATTTATTCAGTTTCAAGCCTCTAGCGGTCTTCTAAATCAAGGGTCCAATAGTATTTAGTTGCCTCCTGAAACTGGGGGACCAATTTAAGAGTGCTCCTGATTCAAGGAGGCCACTGTATAATGGTCTTCTGAATCAAGGGGGCCCATAGTCTGTGGCACAGTCATTACCAGTATTATGTACATTTGTATACATACCATCTCGAGACATCCCGACAGCAATGCACTTTTTTAAACTGAAAAGAAAATCATAAAGCAAGTGAAACAACATGATTTTTATCATGGTAGATTAATAGACTATATGGTACTGTAAACGTGTTTATATCTGTGGATTGTTAATTTTATTATGATAATCGACAACCTGTATGCCAGGGATTAAGTTTGCATTCAATGTACCTTCCAATATATGGTAAACTTATTTCAATATGTATGTAATACATCATTAATTCATTAATGTCAGAATGATTTTATCTGTTTAATCCAACTACACATGACTTGCTACAGCAGCAATTGTGAGAGCACACATATGCACAAGTGTGAAAGGGCACACATCATATACAGAAAGTAAAAACACAAATCAGATACAAAGTGTGAGGGTACACATCATATACACAGGTGTGAGAGGGCACACATCATATACAGAAAGTGAAGACACAAATCACAGAGAAAGTGTGAGGGCATACATACACATACATGCGAGGGCACACACTATATACAAGAGGCCCATGAGTCCTTAATGGTCACCTGAGGTCCCTTTATGGTTTGAGGAAAATGAAGGTCAAGGTCATTCATTTAATTAAACTTGATAACCCTTCATCCCAAAATGCTTCCGACCCAATATCAGGTCTGTTGGCCTCTGTGTTATTGTGAGGAAGTTTTTGAAGATTTCAGCATATTTGAACCCTCTGATCTTGAATTAAGGTCAAAATCAATCATTTGAACAAAAGTTGTGGCCCCTCATACCAGCTTGCTACAGAGCCAATATAAAGTCCCTTGACCTCTTTGTTATTGAGAAAATGTCATCTGAAAATTTCAGCATATTTGACCCCTGTGACCTTGAATGAAGGTCAAGATTTAAATAAAATTGAGAGACTTTCATCCCAAAATGCTACAGACCCAATATCAGGTCTGCAGGCCACTCAGTTATTAAGAAGAAGTTTTTAAAGATTTCAGATTATTTGAACCCTCTGACCTTGAATTAAGGTCAAAGTCATTAATTTCAAAAATTTTGAAGCCAATCATACAAGCGTGCAGCAGAGCTAATATGAAGTCCCTGGACCTCTTCGTTATTGAGAAAGTATCATTTAAAGATTTCAGCATATTTGACCCATGTGACCTTGCATAAAGTTCGAGGGCATTCATTTAATTAAACTTGATAGCCCTTCATTTCAAAACGCTACAGACCCAATATCAGGTCTGTGGGCCTCTCAGTTATTGTGAAGAAGTTTTTGAAGATTTCAGCATATTTGAACCCTCGGACCTTAACTTAAGGTCAGAGTCATTCATTTTAACAAATTTTGTAACCCCCTCATACCAGTATGCTACAGAGCCAATATTAAGTCCCTGGACCTGTTTGTTATTGAGAAAATGTCATTTGAAGATTACAGCTTATTTGATCCCTGTAACCTTGAAAGTAGGTCAAGATCATTCATATGAACAAATTTCTTAGCCCTTCATCCCAGCATGCTACTGGCCCAATACCATGACCCTGGGCCTTTTGGTTACTGAGAAGAAGTCAATTAAAGATTTCAGCACAATTGACTCCTGTGACCTTGAAAGTAAATCAAGATCATTCATTAGAACAAATTTCTTAGCCCTTCATCCCAGCATGCTACTGGCCCAATACTATGACCCTGGGCCTTTTGGTTATTGAGAAGAAGTCGAAAATGTAAATTGTTTATGTTGCATGACACTCGATAAAAAGTGATTGTAATATGTCACTTGAGACTCGGGTGATGTAAAAAGTGAAGACACAAATCAGATACGAAATGTGAGAGCATATACAGTAGCATCATGAATTGCTAAGTCACACATCAAACATATAATTGAGGGGGCAGATATCTAAAATAGTTAAGGCACACACTATACAAATAAGCCTGAGGCAACATATATAAACTAAGAGTGAGGGCATTCACCATAAAGTGTGGGGGCACACATAACATACATGTTTTAGAACATACATCACATACATGTAAATGTATAATTGTTGTTTTCTCTGTTGTAACTGGTATCACAATATACTTAGGACAGAGCTTGGAGGCGTCTCATTAGTCTCTACAGTCAGGTCATTATCCACAAACAGCAATGTATTCATTAATAACCTTTATCAACATTATAATTGCTGTCACACTGACTGCAGTGGATCTTAAGTAAATGTGTCTAGTATTTTAAAAAAAGATTGATATGCTTTTTGTGAAAACATTAACTGAGATATTAGGCAGATACACTGACCTATTTCTCTACAGAAAACTTGATATGTTAATGAGTCTCCCACGCCTTCCTGTTATTTAGAACAGTAGCATTAGGGCAGAAAAATCAATGGATGTTATAGCAGGGCAATGATGATTCTATGTTTGGCTTCTTTCAATGAAACAATTAAGATATTTCTATAATCAAAAATAGAAGGTTTGAGTACAATTATAATCATAATTTAATGTTAACTTCAGTTCTTGACAAATCATGTGTTCTACGGGTGTCAAGACTTCAGTAGTGTCCTTACTGCTGATAGAACAGGTGCTCTGTTGGTGTCATATTTCTGTAGTGTGATAACCACTGACTGAACAGATTTACTTTGAAGTATTTTATTTGATGGTGCCTAGCAAGGATCCAGTTCTTTTTGGGACCATGAGTTTATTAAGATTACCAATAAAAAGTCACTGCTGCTTGAATGACACAAGAATCTGTATTAAAGCTGGTGACTAAATGTGGTGCATTAGTAATGGTTCTGTATGTATTTAATCCCTCCAGGAGAAGAAACAACAAAAAAGTACACACATCAGAGACATTACATACCGACAATATTGGCATCTGTTCCGATTCACTCGCATTATATTGCATTGCTGGTTCTTTAAACATGGACGGTACTGTATCTTCTGTTGGATGCTGCGTCGGAAAAATCCCTGGAAAAAAAGTAAACCAAGGCTTTAAACTACAGCACAAATAAATACACAAAAATAACGAGGCTGAGACAAGCCTTTATATCTGGTCACACAAAAATAACGAGGCTGAGACAAGCCTTTATATCTGGTCACACAAAAATAACGAGGCTGAGACAAGCCTTTATATCTGGTCACACAAAAATAACGAGGCTGAGACAAGCCTTTATATCTGGTCACACAAAAATAACGAGGCTGAGACAAGCCTTTATATCTGGTCACACAAAAATAACGAGGCTGAGACAAGCCTTTATATCTGGTCACACAAAAATAACGAGGCTGAGACAAGCCTTTATATCTGGTCACACAAAAATAACGAGGCTGAGACAAGCCTTTATATCTGGTCACACAAAAATAACGAGGCTGAGACAAGCCTTTATATCTGGTCACACAAAAATAACAAGACTGAGACAAGCCTTTATATCTGGTCACACAAAAATAACGAGGCTGAGACAAGCCTTTATATCTGGTCACACAAAAATAACGAGGCTGAGACAAGCCTTTATATCTGGTCACACAAAAATAACAAGACTGAGACAAGTCTTTATATCTGGTCACACAAAAATAACGAGGCTGAGACAAGCCTTTATATCTGGTCACACAAAAATAACGAGGCTGAGACAAGCCTTTATATCTGGTCACACAAAAATAACGAGGCTGAGACAAGCCTTTATATCTGGTCACACAAAAATAACGAGGCTGAGACAAGCCTTTATATCTGGTCACACAAAAATAACGAGGCTGAGACAAGCCTTTATATCTGGTCACACAAAAATAACAAGACTGAGACAAGTCTTTATATCTGGTCACACAAAAATAACGAGGCTGAGACAAGTCTTTATATCTGGTCACACAAAAATAACAAGACTGAGACAAGCCTTTATATCTGGTCACACAAAAATAACAAGACTGAGACAAGCCTTTATATCTGGTCACACAAAAATAACAAGACTGAGACAAGCCTTTATATCTGGTCACACAAAAATAACAAGACTGAGACAAGCCTTTATATCTGGTCACACAAAAATAACAAGACTGAGACAAGCCTTTATATCTGGTCACACAAAAATAACAAGACTGAGACAAGCCTTTATATCTGGTCACACAAAAATAACAAGACTGAGACAAGTCTTTATATCTGGTCACACAAAAATAACAAGACTGAGACAAGCCTTTATATCTGGTCACACAAAAATAACAAGACTGAGACAAGCCTTTATATCTGGTCACACAAAAATAACAAGGTATGAACAAGTTTATATCTGGTCACACAAAAATAACTAGCCTGAGACAAGCCTTTATATCTGGTCACACAAATAACGAGGCTGAGACAAGTCTTTATATCACACAAAAATACCAGAAAGACAAGTTTATATCTGCACACAAAAATAACAAGACTGAGAAGTATATCTGGAACACAAAAATAACGAGAAATTGAAATAATTCACAATTTCAGCATTGACTGTTGAATTACCTTATTGGAAATAACAATCAAATTTTTAAAAAATTCTTGTCCGAAAGGCGAAAAAGCATCTCACAAAACTTAAGCTCAATGGCAGGAATGGAATGGTATTTTTTTTATATAGCAACATCAGATCAGGATCAACACAACGTCATTCAAGATAAATCTTACTGGTGGAACTCAGTAAAGAAATGTGAAATAGATTAAAACAGGATGAAATAATTACACAATCACATTGCAAAATGGCTGCTGTGTCTACCCTGTGTTTTGATTGGATTGTGAAACAGCAGTAAAACAATGACCCTAGTAATGTTTCGTAGAAGAGGTGCGAGTCCTTGAAAACAGGGGCTACAAGTCTTGGATTTCACAAATTTGGGGAATTTTATGCCCTCGTTTCAAAGGTAACGGGGAACACTTAAGAAAGTTTTGACTAGGCCAATAAATGACTACCCTGTCATCATCCTTTCTTTATTATTACTGTAAATCAATAAGATTTTGCGATTACTTTATTTCACAAACCTACCTGTATAGACCTATTAGGAAATACATAATTTGGAGAAAGCTGATCTAGAAATGACTTTAAATTGCGAAAGATGAGCAAGCTATTTAGACACATGCCCTTTGGAAAGCTACTTCATTGGCAACTGAAAGCTTCATTTTGGCTGCCATTTTGCTTACCGGATTCAAGTGACTATACCTAAAAAGGGATTCCACCATGTGATACATGCTATGTGCATACTGAATTGCAGGCCAGCACATAGACAAAAGAAACCAACATGAACACTATACGTGGTTATGTTTGAAGAGTGAAGTGAGTTGTTTCCAGGGTAAGATGACACGACTTAATAGGCCAGACGTATTGTACAGTGTTTATACTAAGTTCAGACAGTTAAAACAACATCGTTTTCTGACCAATAGTACGCGTTCAGCCCAAGCCGGGTGTCATCAGTCTCCTCATACTCAACGTGTTAACTGTCATTAACCGTTAATTATACAATCAGCCAAGCCTTTCATGCTGGTTAGGTCACCTGGGTAAATTTGTTTACTTAAGGTAATTACAGGTGTTAGGGTCATGCTCATTGTGGTTTCCTAATTAGCAATGGATCAGACCACATCAAATGTTTCGTCGCAGTGACCAGTCAATTAATTTTTCTGTAGATTTTTTTTTTTTTTTTAAATCTGATCTCCAAAAAGTACCTGCGCACTATACGCGAGTGCGCACTATACACGAATATTTACGGTATACACAAGTTGTCCCAATGGTAATATTTCTGAAGGCTTACTGTTTATTTTGTTATTAATAAAAATAGATATTTTGCATGTTACAAATGCTGTTATTGTAAATATTTAAGTACCTTTCCATCAGAAAAACATTATCAGGAATTTACAATTATATTCACTGAGGCACACATGTTTGACCTTTGACATAGCTGTACATTTGAATAATGCTATTTTGTGAAGTTCTACAGTCAGCAATATGGACACAGTCCTGAAGATGTTTGGATTTGAGAGTAATATACGTGTAGCAGAATTATTTTATATAATTTGATAGGGTATATATAAATTCAATGTAAGTGTAAACAAAAATAAAAGCAATTAATGACAGAATGCATGTCAAATAACAAGGAATAATAAGGTAAGGAATAGGGTTTTTCAAGATGGCCATCTATGGGACCATTTAAGGTTGCCGACGTAAAGAAAAGTCATGGGTCAGGACCATTTCAGGATCATTCACAGGTAAAGATGAATACTCATTATGATAACTTTACACTTCACTTAATGCATGATGATAGAGGAAATATAATGGATATGACATTCTCATGTTTCAGGCAAGACGGCCTTAAAACTGATACAGGACATTCTCATGTTTCAGGCAAGACGGCCTTAAAACTGATACAGGTCATTTTCATGTTTCAGGCAAGACGGCCTTAAAACTGATACAGGTCATTTTCATGTTTCAGACAAGACGGCCTTAAAACTGATAGAGGTCATTCTCGTGTTTCAGGCAAGACGGCCTTAAAACTGATAGAGGTCATTTTCATGTTTCAGGCAAGACGGCCTTAAAACTGATAGAGGTCATTCTCTTGTTTCAGGCAAGACGGCCTTAAAACTGATATAGGTCATTTTCATGTTTCAGGCAAGACGGCCTTAAAACTGATAGAGGTCATTCTCATGTTTCAGGCAAGACGGCCTTAAAACTGATAGAGGTCATTTTCATGTTTCAGGCAAGACAGCCTTAAAACTGATATAGGTCATTTTCATGTTTCAGGCAAGACGGCCTTAAAACTGATATAGGTCATTCTCGTGTTTCAGGCAAGTCGGCCTTAAAACTGATATAGGTCATTTTCATGTTTCAGGCAAGACAGCCTTAAAACTGACACAGGTCATTCTCTTGTTTCAGGCAAGATGGCCTTAAACCTGATATAGGTCATTCTCTTGTTTCAGGCAAGATGGCCTTAAACCTGATATAGGTCATTCTCTTGTTTCAGACAAGACAGCCTTAAAACCGATATAGGTCATTGTCATGTTTCAGGCAAGACGACCTAACATAGGTCTTTCTTAGCTTTCCAGTAAGACGTCTTAAAATCTTATATGTTGTAAGTAAAGCAAATCACAGTGTGCCCCAGAACATACAGACAAGCAAGTTTATTGGACAGAGAGATATTCTGAAGTAGGAAGGGATCAGACAACATATTTGGACAGAGTTATTGATTATGGCAGTGTGTTGAGGCTCCAGCATCACTGCAGGATCCAGTGTGACCCAGTACATCTCCTTACACAATCAATATCTCTCTACTGGGTCACTGACCGAGATATCAGCATCTAAACAAACAAGTTACCAGAAATAACCACGGAAACGGTAGACGACAACTAACATCCTCACAGGTTCTCATCCTTAACAATCAGACAACAAGAATAACTAATAATAACTAACACTCTAACAGACTCTCATCTGTTACAATCAGACAACTACAAGAACTAATGGTAACTAATACTGCCACAGGTTCTCATCCTTAACAACCAGACAGCTAGAATAACTACTGATAATAATTCCATCCCCCTCAACAGATTCTCATCCTTAACAATCCATGGTAAGCCAAAATTGAAAAGTGACTGTTGTATCCAGAGATGCATATTTGATGTAAATATTACGGACACTGAAATAACATTTTTAAGAAAACAGAAAAAATATTAGGAAAAACATTTCATATTTTCCATACCAAATCATTATGATTAAGCAAAGTCAGGTATTTTTTGTAACCACAGCAACAATATGCGAGAAAAAAAGCCCAAAAGATCCCCGACATTTACTATCGTATTGTCATTCTATTTGGATTTTTTAGTCAGATTTTTCTCCTTTTCTTTGCACAATTCAAAAGTTAATTAATCATACGATAATGAACAAAGGAGATATGCCAGCCATTTTGTTTTTCTGATCAGTCCAAAAATAGACTATATAAAAGTTTAATGGGACAATAGGAATCTACTTATGGAATAATATATTAAGCATATAGCTATAACAAACTACAGGATATAACAACCAAAATCCAAGATGGCCGCCTCTTATGGTAAACAGTATCAGTTATTCCTATATGCTCACTTGACCAATGTCCTAAAGCTGACCCCTAACATCTTTGACCAGTGAGATACATCTTTGACCAGTGAAATATTGACAAGAAAAGATTCCAACTTAGACATCCTGTTTCTTGAAGAGAGAGCTAATGGGCTGGCAATCAATAGCAGACCCATGGGATCCCAGCATTGTTAGTCAGTATAGCGGAGGTCATGTTAAGGTAAACGTGGGTCAAACAATGGTCATTTCATTAGGATCAATAAATATTAGCACAGCAATGGGTCAACTGGTTAGCAATGACTTGTGGATGATACATGAACTGTTCACCAGAATCCATGACCCAAATCGTTTTTTATTGTTTTTTTCTTATTTTCATTACTACTTTTATATCTCATTTCTTTTCTTTTCTTGACCCAAATCTATAGTTCTATATTCTTCAGTATGACCAGCTTACCACCATCTTGAAATAGCAACGAATGAAAATTTTAACAAATTTCTGCATTTTCAAAGCATTCTGGCTTTAAAATGAGGGAGACTGATGATAATAGATGTTTTCCATGGGCACCATGATTGGAATAATGATATTTCTGTCAGAACACACATGAATTATTACCCAGCTTTTGAAAGCAGTCAGCAATGGGGGAGTAATGATGAAATCATGAAGCTGATAAGAAATCTCCAGTAATAACATGGTGATGGGTAAATCTCCTTCCCGAGAGTAAATTGTCCCTAAGCTACATAAAATTCTTTTCTAGCTTGATACACATTTGAAATTTCAGGTAGTTAAAAATGTCACATTCTAAAAACCTGACACGGTTTCGAACAAAGTATCCAAAATGAAAATTCCACGTCCGAAGTACAGTACTAATGTGAAGACATCTTACCTTGCAGCCTTCACAGGCGTGTACTCCATAATGAAAACCACTTGCTTTGTCACCACAAACACGGCACAAGACGGTATCTCCGTCAAATTCTGAAACAGATAAAATTATATCTGAAATTTTCTGCCAATTATGAAAAAAAATATACTGATCACATTGTGATATCAAATCCTTTAATATCAGCCACCAATTCTGTATCATGTACACGAGGCTAAGGGGCCTGAACAGTCACCTTGGTGACCACTGGGTAACCGTTTATATGTAGCATAGAGAAGAGAAAAGAGAAATGTTATTTGTACAAGGGAAGGAAAGTTTAAAACTGAAGTTATAACTCATTATTGCATAACTTTCATGGCATAATGGTAACCAAATAACTATTGTAAACTTAACCTTCTCCTTAGTGGGAGAAATGTGAAGAATCTTGGTTAAAAACCCTTCTAGTGTGATTCTACCATAGTTCACTGGGGTTCAAGGACTTTCCCAAAGAAGTTCAAAATGTAAAAATAGTATGCTGGTCAAGTCAGGACACAAGACAAAACGGGATCACCATAGTTCACCATTCCATATAATATACATTAAGTCACCTATTCTGTATCAAGTATAATGATTTGCCTCTTCAATATCATGTTAAGTAAGTCTTATATTCAATATCACGTATCATCTATTCCATATCATGTATCATCTATTCCATATGATGTATAAGTCATCTATTCCATATCATGTATAAGTCATCTATTCCATATCATGTCTAATAAATCATCTATTCCATATGATGTATAAGTCATCTATTCCATATCATGTCTAATAAATCATCTATTCCATATCATGTATAATAAATCATCTATTCCATATCATGTCTAATAAATCATCTATTCCATATCATGTATAATAAATCATCTATTCCATATCATGTATAATAAATCATCTATTCCATATCATGTATCATCTATTCCATATCATGTATAATAAATCATCTATTCCATATCATGTCTAATAAATCATCTATTCCATATGATGTAATAAATCATCTATTCCATATGATGTATAAGTCATCTATTCCATATCATGTCTAATAAATCATCTATTCCATATCATGTATAATAAATCATCTATTCCATATCATGTATAATAAATCATCTATTCCATATCATGTATAATAAATCATCTATTCCATATCATGTATAAGTCATCTTTTCCATATTAAAGTATAGATGACCAGACAACATCCAAAGAAAACCTTCATTCTGGCTTAAATGTTGACATGTTTCAAACTACTAGGTATGCTGCCCTCAAAACAATGCAACAATTCAAAATACAGGACATAAACAGTCGAATCTCTTTATCATAAAATTCAAGGGACGTGGAACACATTTTGACTTATCCGAAGTGTCTAAGCTAGGAAAGTTATGGTTCTGTTCTGGTGATGACAGAATGCCTATAAAGTTGGTAACATCTCATCTACAATCAACATTCTCATTTAAATGTGTTGCTGTATTAAGACCGAGGGATAAAAGCTAATGATATGACTGCTACAGTAAAACTATCAACCATTAAACAACAATAACTTCATATACACAAGAAAGGCCTGTTCCGCTGAAATTCCTAGTAAAATTCCTTCACTTTTTAATAAGGATATGTCTGTACATAAGACAATGGTCTTCTCTACAATTAATGATCAGAATGTCAGCCATTATCGTGAAAGCTCTATAGTACAATCTACCTGGAAAACAGTCTATTGGTCACTACTACTATTTATCTGGACAAAAACAGACTTCAGTGTACAGTGATACAGAATAAGCTACAAGTATAAAGGTTCTGAGCAGACCTGTTCATGACCTGTTAACCCAGTTCAAGGATGACTAAACAGCTAGTTGTAAACAAGTACTACCTTTAAAAATCAGAGCTGCCTTTATTTAGCTGGTATGACTGGTTTAAACAAAATTGCCTACATTTAGTTGGTATGACTGGTTTAAACAAAATTGCCTTCATAGCTGGTATGATTGGTAACATGTAAAACTGAATTTATTTAGCAGGTAAAATCTGGAAAAAGGTAATGCTGCCCACATTTAACTTCAATGTCTGGTTTAAAGTAAAACTGCCTACCTTTACCTGGTATGACTCATTTAAACTTAAACTTTCTACATTTCACAGGTATGACTGGGTTAAACCAAATAGTCTACAATTTAACTGGTATGACTGGTTTAAACCACAACTGCCTTCATTTATCTGATATGACTGGTTTAAATCAAAACTGCCAACATTTAGGTGGTGTACTGGCATAAACTAAAACTACACCTGTAATGAACTAATCCAGGCATTCCTAAAGAAGACAATTTTAAAGAAGGAGTTTTTCAAGTTTTTGAAAGTTTTTATTTAAAGCATTTTATTAATCAGTAGCCTATCATCGTATAATTTGCTGAATTCAGTGTTCCCTCTTGTTCCCACTTGTTCCCACTTGTGCAAACGAGAAACTTTCCACATCTGTCACCTATGGCCTACAAGTGTCTTTGTGAATTCACATGAACATTTATCCAATAATTTTTTTTTTTTTTTTTTTAATAACTCCAATTCAGTGAAAAAATAGCATTGTTTTGTTTTAAAATCATGTTAATTTATCACCATAAAAATCATTCACTGTTGTGTATCCTTCCCTTGCATCCTAATCATTGACCAGTACAACAGTAACTAACCTTGTCAGCTTAAAAGTAAAGGTAAACAGAATTACATTATTTCTTGCTTTCAATGTAATTTATACTTCTAACTTATAATTAATGTATTTTCTAAGGCTGATCCTTCAATCAAATTTCTTTCTAGCATGATGTTATTGAATATATTGTATTCTGTTTTTGCCGAAAAAGTGAGGTCATTCATTTAGCAAAGTTGGTCCTTAGATATCAACTAACAAAATAATGCAGAGTGCAACATTATTCCCCACTCCCCAATGTTTAAAAGCCACACAATCATTTTCAATTTTTACAAAGTATATTCAAATATAATGGTTAATTCCCAGTGGACTCCATTTTTGGGGACGTCTGGGTGGTATAATTGATTAAGCTGTTGTTAACTTTCTTAGCTAGGCGATTTGGTGCCATAACGCACGAGTCCCAGGCCCGGATAGGGCACAAGTCAAAAATCATCTTCCTTTTTCAGTTGTGTTACCAAGGTCAAATATCACTTAATCAACACATTGCATCATATACAGTCATGTATGCTGATCTGAAGGTTTAAGACTTGAATTTCCTCTCAAAATTGTTTATGTATTCAATATGTTTCCATGGTAACTGAAAAAGTATCTAAAATGAAGAATTTTTCTTAATCTATTCCGACTCGTCAACAATACACAAAGTCTTACTTACTTAATCAATACAGACTGGTCACCAATACACCAAGTCTTACTTACTTAATCCATCCAGACTTGTCACCATTACACAAAGTCTTACTTACAGAATCAATACAGACTGGTCACCATTACACAAAGTCTTACTTACAGAATCAATCCAGACTGGTCACCATTACACAAAGTCTTACTTACAGAATCAATCCAGACTGGTCACCATTACACAAAGTCTTACTTACAGAATCAATCCAGACTGGTCACCATTACACAAAGTCTTACTTACAGAATCAATACAGACTGGTCACCAATACACAAAGTCTTACTTACTTAATCAATACAGACTGGTCACCATTAATCCCATCATTACACAAAGTCTTACTTACAGAATCAATCCAGACTGGTCACCATTACACAAAGTCTTACTTACAGAATCAATCCAGACTGGTCACCATTACACAAAGTCTTACTTACCTAATCTATCCAGACTTGTCACCAATAATCCCATCATTATACCAAGTCTTACAGAATCAATCCAGACTGGTCACCATTACACAAAGTCTTACTTACAGAATCCATCCAGACTGGTCACCATTACACAACACAAAGACTGGTCACCATTACACAAAGTCTTACTTACAGAATCAATCCAGACTGGTCACCATTACACAAAGTCTTACTTACAGAATCAATCCAGACTGGTCACCATTACACAAAGTCTTACTTACAGAATCAATCCAGACTGGTCACCATTACACAAAGTCTTACACAAAGTCTTACATCAATCCAGACTGGTCACCATTACACAAAGTCTTACTTACAGAATCAATCCAGACTGGTCACCATTACACAAAGTCTTACTTACAGAATCAATCCAGACTGGTCACCATTACACAAAGTCTTACTTACAGAATCAATCCAGACTGGTCACCATTACACAAAGTCTTACTTACAGAATCAATCCAGACTGGTCACCATTACACAAAGTCTTACTTACAGAATCAATCCAGACTGGTCACCATTACACAAAGTCTTACAGAATCAATCCAGACTGGTCACCATTACACAAAGTCTTACTTACAGAATCAATCCAGACTGGTCACCATTACACAAAGTCTTACTTACAGGTCACCATCTTACTTACAGAATCAGACTGGTCACATTACACAAAGTCTTACTTACAGAATCAATCCAGACTGGTCACCATTACACAAAGTCTTACTTACAGAATCAATCCAGACTGGTCACCATTACACAAAGTCTTACTTACAGAATCAATCCAGTCTGGTAAACATTACACAAAGTCTTACTTACAGAATCAATCCAGACTGGTCACCATTACACAAAGTCTTACTTACAGAATCAATCCAGACTGGACACCATTACACCATTACACAAAGTCTTACAGAATCAATCCAGACTGGTCACCATTACACAAAGTCTTACAGAATCAATCCAGACTGGTCACCATTACACAGAGTCTTACTTACAGAATCCATCCAGACTGGTCACCATTACACAAAGTCTTAGAGAATCAATCCAGACTGGTCACCATTACACAAAGTCTTACTTACAGAATCAATACAGACTGGTCACCATTACACAAAGTCTTACAGAATCAATCCAGACTGGTCACCATTACACAAAGTCTTACTTACAGAATCCATCCAGACTGGTCACCATTACACAAAGTCTTACTTACAGAATCAATCCAGACTGGTCACCATTACACAAAGTCTTACTTACAGAATCAATACAGACTGGTCACCATTACACAAAGTCTTACAGAATCAATCCAGACTGGTCACCATTACACAAAGTCTTACTTACAGAATCAATCCAGACTGGTCACCATTACACAAAGTCTTACTTACAGAATCAATACAGACTGGTCACCATTACACAAAGTCTTACAGAATCAATCCAGACTGGTCACCATTACACAAAGTCTTACTTACAGAATCAATCCAGACTGGTCACCATTACACAAAGTCTTACTTACAGAATCAATCCAGACTTGTCACCATTACACAAAGTCTTACTTACAGAATCAATCCAGACTTGTCACCATTACACAAAGTCTTACTTACAGAATCAATCCAGACTTGTCACCATTACACAAAGTCTTACTTACAGAATCAATCCAGACTGGTCACCATTACACAAAGTCTTACTTACTTAATCCATCTAGACTAGCCACCATTATTCCCATCATTATACCAAGTCTTAATTACCTAATCCATCTAGACGAGCCACCATTACTCCCATCATTATACCAAGTCTTAATTACCTAATCCATCTAGACGAGCCACCATTACTCCCATCATTATACCAAGTCTTACTTACCTAATCCATCCAGACTGGCCTCCTTTCCCATTGTTGTCATACTAATATACTCAGAGTCGGGCTCTTTTGTGCTCTTCTTCCTCAAATCATCTCTGCAAGACCTCTGCCACACCTACAAACCAACACGTACTTTTAAACATAGGAAGTTATTGTGTATGAAAATGAAATCAATTTTATTCCACTTTACCTTCTTCTACAAGGTTTTCTAGCTAGGCCTATGCATCTATAACAACTTCACTTTGAGGTATAACTCAATGTACTAATTATATACAATTTTTACCATTAGTAGTGTTATAATAGAATTACCACCTTATATCAAATTCATGATCAATAAGTAAAATAAAACATCAACGGAAATAACGACATCTGGATATATACAGTGATCTATATCATGCTGTCTCACCACCAGAATATATATCTCCAGCACAGACAATTTTACCCTCCTCAAACTGCCAACAGAATTTATATCTCCAGCAGGTATAATTTTGTCCTCCGCAAACCACCACCAGAATACATATCTCCAGCAGAGACAATTTCACCCTCCTCAAACTGCCACCTGAGTATATTTATGTCTCCAGCAGAGACAATTCCACCCTCCTCAAACTTTCACCTGAGTATATATATATATATATATATCCAGCAGAGACAATTTCACCTTCTTCAAACTATCACCTGAGTATATATATATATATATCTCCAGCAGAGACAATTTCACCCTCCTCAAACTGCCACCTGAGTATATATATATCTCCAGCAGAGACAATTTCACCCTCCTCAAACTGCCACCTGAGTATATATATATCTCCAGCAGAGACAATTTCACTCTCCTTAAACTGCCACCTGAGTATATATATATCTCCAGCACAGACAATTTCACCCTCCTCAAACTGCCACCTGAGTATACATATGTCTCCAGCAGAGACAATTTCACCCTCCTCAAACTATCACCTGAGTATATATATATATTTCCAGCACCAACAATTTCACCTTCCTCAAACTACCACCTGAGTATATATATATCTCCAGCAGGGACAATTTCACCCTCCTCAAACTATCACCTGAGTATATATATATATATATATATATCCAGCAGAGACAATTTCACCTTCCTCAAACAATCACCTGAGTATATATATATATATCCAGCAGAGACAATTTCACCCTCCTCAAACTATCACCTGAGTATATATATATATTTCCAGCACCAACAATTTCACCTTCCTCAAACTACCACCTGAGTATATATATATCTCCAGCAGGGACAATTTCACCCTCCTCAAACTATCACCTGAGTATATATATATCTCCAGCACAGACAATTTCACCTCCTCAAACTGCCACCTGAGTATATATATATCTCCAGCAGAGACAATTTCACCCTCCTTAAACTACCACCTGAGTATATATATATCTCCAGCAGAGACAATTTCACTCTCCTTAAACTACCACCACAATACATACCTCCAGCACAGACAATTTCACCCTCCTCAAACCACCAGTAGGACATATATCTCTAGCAGAGATGATTATAACCTCCCCAAACTACCTCCAGAAATCACAGGTTTTATTTTGATCTTCATCATTTTGGATACCATGACAGAGAAACCAGCCCATAAAAAACACATTTCTGATCATATATTGGTGCAAGTTAGTGATGACATATCGGTATGCAGAGTGTGGATTGAGACTTTACATGACTATGGATTACTGTTTGTTCAAATCTTTTATGAATCTTACAATTATTGGGACAGTCTTAAAGTGATTATCTCATCAAAATATAAGATGAAAAATGTGACAAAATCTTTGACAAAACACATGCCCTCAACATTCCATAATCCATTATATTTACCAATTGCTTAGCTTGTAATACATAGTTAGGGCCTGGAGTTGTGTCAGCTACCGCGCCCACGATGTTACAGAAAGGTGTGAAATAATCACACTAATTAAGTGACATGTTTGTGAATAATCTGATGCTATCAATAGCTTATGATGGTCATTTACAGCCTGCTGCCCACAGTGTTTAATGTCAATGTGAATAGTGACCACACATAGAGCAATTAATGTGACGCAAATGCCTTTATCAGAAGTATTATGTGCAGTCTCGCGATATGTTCAAACAATTTTAAATGTAAGTGAAACAAACTAGAAGGGGTTTGAACTATCAACACAGAAAATTATTGTTTTTAATGAAAAAATTATGTGTTTGAACTACCCGCCTATTCGACCTGACCGGAGGCTTACCGTATATCTATATCAGAGGCAACTTCACCTCCTCAAACCACCATCAGCAAATATCTCTATCAGACACAAAGTGACCTCCTAAATCCACCAAACTGTTTTATCACAGATAATTTCACCCTCCTTAAACTACTACCAGAATATAAACTCTCTCTATCAGAGATGTTTTCACTTTCTTAAAAATAGCCACCAGAATATATCTTTTAGGGATAACTACACCCTTCTCAAACCAATACTAGAATTCATCTCCATCCAGGACAATTTCACCTCCTTCGAACCACCATCAAAGTATGACTACATCCATCAGAGAGAATTTTCCCCTCCTCACACCAATGACAGTATGTTTCTCCATCAGACAGAATTTCTCGTCGCAACTCACTGACAAAATATACCTTCATTAGCTAGGATTTTCCCCTCTTGTAATCAACCACAGCAAAAGTAAACCTCTGTAGAAAAGTTACTTCCCCTTCTCAGACCATGACCAGCCTATACCTCCAACCCTGAAAATTTTCCCCTCCTCTTCAAAAGGCAGTAAGAACATATCTCTAATGGAGGAAAACTTACCCTCCCCAATTCACCACCCGAAATATCCTCATGCACAAGGCTCGGCACAAGCACGCGTACTGACGGGTGGATTTTACTGACAGACCAGTGATTTTTTATGGCAACTAGTCTGTTGGATGAGTAAATTTTTGAAATATCGCCTTAGGTTATAAAACTGTCTGCCTGAATAATGGCGTTTCTTTTATGAGACATTGTGTAAAATCATAAAGTTTCAGCATATAATCATGTTAATTTGTGCCTTCTAGAATGAAAACTAAACACAATGAAACAATAGTTTAAATGACAGTGATTATAATATACACTTCTGTGGTAGAAGTCTGAGTGTATCTGAGTTATCAAGTAAGTATAAGGGAGATGTCAGAGGTTATCTGAATTGAAATGGCTCAGCAAAAATTACATTTGCTTTTTAACCGATCAGCACAAAAAAGCGAAAGAAGTTTGCCAGGTAACATGAAACTTGAAAAAACATTAACCAAAATGATCTTTATAGCAAATATTTTATTATATATTAGCATTATGCTTTCTATTATTGGTTCTTCGAAAAATGTATCACAATTTGTCACAAAGGACTGCCTACACAGCTATGTTCATACTAGCTTTAACATTGGACATTCTTTAAATCATGTCTCTCAAGTACAATTACTTTTGGTAACAGTTTTAGGAAAACATTCACCAGATACTGACAATTGATTCACATTTTATCTTGATTGAATTCAAGCCAGATGCATAATAAATGAGTGCTATATCCATAAGTTAAAATTTCTAATGTAAATTTTCCGAATACTACTGAATTCCTTGTCTGGACCAGTCCTTTTAACCAGGCCACTAGTCCAATGCACCAGTGCTTTTACAAGTTTTGGCCTGCCATTCTATCCAAATCAGGAACTGAATTACCTCCCTTCCCATCAATTTTTTTAAATAACAAATTCCAGATTCTATTCTTGCTTCACTTACAATGTAAATTGTTCAAACATCACATCAGATCATTTATGACAAACTACTGATGGGACTACTGACGTTACTCTATTTGGTCAGAAATACTGCGGTCAGAATGTCGCAGATGACCATTGTAGACAATTGATACCACCAAATTATACACAAATGTCGGTGTCATTTCTTTCATATCTTGCTTTTTACAAATATGTTCAACAATACCATTTGTAATATATTTTCATTAATTTTCAAAATATGCTTCAGAAACCATGACCACTAATACACTAATGTCATGATGACAGTGTGCAATCAAGCATAAAGTTCAGACCACTTTCCCCTTAAACATGGGTTCAAGACACTCTATTGGCAGGGATGATGTCTGTTAGGTTAGTTCCCCATCTATTTATGGCAGGTTAGTATTACCTGCGGTGCTAAGAATCCCTCAGTGGCTTTACGAGAAGGTGTGATAATGCCGGTCCAAGGGTTTAAGGATAATGTCAGGCTATACAATAATTTTGAAGGCATTTGACAGACTTCAAATTTACCCTAACATAAATCAAATATAGGCAGGCCCCCAATTCTTCCTTTCAGCTTCTGGACATGTTTCAACTGGTAAAGTTAGGATACGGCATAATCAGATCACAGAGCTGTCTTCTAAAACTAGTATAATCAAACAGTCACCACTACAGATGGTTTCATTCCACAGGGTTGCTCCCTCAAGTCCCCAGAACACTGATGTTCGACGGTAAGACGACACCTGGACAAGGGACAAGTCGCGGAAATTGAAATCTGTCATCCAACCAATCAACCCATGATTACCTGTGAGTTTATAGTTCTTCCAAGTATCTAATGCTAACTTCATGTTACCTCCAAAAAATCTAATTGGCTGTTCTTTTTATACTATCAATAATTGGATGATAATATGTAAACTATGCCCAACTTAGCTTCTTTATACAATAACATGTCTAAACAAATGATTAGTGGTCGGATGACGCAGTGGTACAGCACTCGCCTTTAACCTAGGTGTACAGTGTTCAATTTCATGCGGAGGCGTGCACATGAAAAAGTATAGGATAACTTGTCCAACCTCGTGGGGTTTTCCCCAGGTGCACTGGTTTCTTCCTACAGTAAGAACACTGGCATGCCTTCATGCAGGCCTAGAACAGTTATTGATACATGTATAATACGTTAGCCATTGTTGTTGAGTAAATGAAGTTGATATTCACAAGCAAAATAAAATCTGCCAATTGCCACAAAATGCTTTGACAGAAAACCAGCTGTTAAAAAAGGCAGGCGCAAAACCCAAGTTTCAGAAGGTATTGTACATCGAGTCCAGACCACTAATCTTACTACAGGTCAGAGAGTAGTACTAAACTAGCGATGTGAACAACACAGACTGGACACACGGGAGAAATGTGATTTTATCATCAGTTTCCATCCCAGTTGTTTAGGCTGAGTAAGCTATTTACATATGACCTTACCATGTTATCGTTTTCCATGTAAAGGTCTGAAATGATACTAAATATGGCACCGGAATACATCTTATCACATCGTAAAACCACCAAAATAAACATGGGCTATAGGTAATCCAGTGCACTTACACTAACACCGGCATTCCTTATACCGGCAAGGCCACAAAACATACCCACTTAAACAAAGAAATTCGGATCAAAACAGCCAACGAAGAACAGGGAATAAAAGCTTACATACTCGGGGTCCAAATGAGCACAGTCTGTAGTCTTTGCGTGTCGGTCATCCGTCAATTTAGGAGCCGACAAAATGGTCTAGGCGCTGGCTTTCCTGTGTTGTTTGAACTCTGAGTGACAGAGTGACACACATTTCAGACCATAGCATGACCCATTTCCTCGCCCACCAGATCCCCTGTTTTGATTGGTCGATAGAAGGACACTGACATTTACTACTTCGAAGCAAAAATGTCCGGTTTTACCCCGATAATAACATCATTTTGTTCATTTTGTTTCATATTTAGAATCATTTGCGTTTGGAGAACAGATTTTACGTAAATCAGGTTATACATGTAGTTTAACCGCACTAAAACATGGTTTGTTTTCGAGATAGTGTGGAAATGTAGGTCATAATGTCTAGCCAATCGAAAACGGTTTTACATCAATGGATTTGAGGTGCATCGAACTATGCGTTCCATGCGAGAAAAGAAGTAAACAACTATATATAGAATCGTGTCATGCCGAAAACAAGCTAAAACCAGCTGATCGGACTAATATTAGGACAAGTACTACGGGACATACAGCTGGTCAGCTGTGTGTCCCATTCCAGGACAAAGTGGTCACTTACCTTTAATAGGCTGTATGATCGCCGCACGAGCCTTTGAATAAAAGAGTGTGGTTACAACGTCATCTTTACGTCAGTAAACCAGTGGCCATGGTAATGGTCACGATATTATTCTGGTGTGACCTTCACAACATCTCAATAAATCCATAATGTTTTCATAACACTGATTTGAAGACGTTGGGAACACAGCCACGATATTCAAGGTCAACATAAGCTTCACGTGAATTTATTGTTGACTCAATGAACCGTCTATAATTACTACCATTATTAGGATTGTACTTATTCTATCAAACCAAGGTTAATATGTTCTTGTTAATTGTAAGCCTGTGTGATTAATTGTAAACCTGTGTTCAAAGAATTTTTGACTGATATTTTCTGTAATGTTTTACGTTTTTTTGCACATATACTCTATACTCCATCAATAGAAAAGTTCCATTCCATTCCGAAATGAGGAACACCAACATCCTTTAATTATGAGAGCTTTGAAAAAGATAACGATGGTTGTGAACTGTAATGAAAATACATCAAAATATGAATGACAAAATCATTGAGGTAAAAAAGAATCGAAATTTTGTTTGACCATCTTATCTTCGTTGAGTGTGTTGGTAAGGTATCTTCCATTGGCTTATAAAACCACGCCCCTCTCTCGGTAGTTCCAAAATACATCCTTGTAAAGTCCTTCGCTATTCTCACGAGAAATTATTGACCGCTGACTCTTTTATATCATGGTGCCGCTTACTTAATCTTTTCATAAAAAAGGACAGATTTTCATCAAAACGAAAAAGAATAACTAAGAAAAACTAGTGTTGGTTTCAATATACTTGGCAAGTTCTTAATTTAGCAACATTATACGTTTCCCCCATTCTATGTATTGTAAATCACATTTGTTTCGTTGTCATGTTCCAAATATGTGCAAGATGTCAATACCCAACAGATAAACTTACAACATCGTATAAGCAAGAAGAGTTTCGAGAGATACAGGTTGATAAAGTTTTATGGTCATCACAGTGATTCTCTGCATTCTGTATTTCATTTTTCAATATGAAGATGGGTGTGATGCCCGCTATTATATCTGGCGATCCTATGTTATTAACCATCTTCTCATTTGGGAACGTGACATTTCTTATTTGGATTAGCGAACATTTACAGTACAAATGTTGTAGATGAAGCAGAAGACGCTTACCCTTCAGGGGTCTCTGTGTGAATAATTATTTTCTTCATATTTCGCCCTCGTTTAATCGCCTATAAGCCGATTGATATGATCCGGCTAGCCCGGCGACATCTGAACTTTTCACGCACCTTAGAAATGTGGCTATTTTGACATTTCTTCTATCCTGAGCCAAACTTTAACCTTGGAAAATAACCCAAATTAGGACAATTCTGGTACCCAAATTGTAACAGTTTTTATGTCGTTAGTCAGATGTTCTAGATCCACCATGGTAAAATTTATATTTATGTCAAAATCTTAATAGAAATTAGAAAAAAATAACGATTATCCCACAAAAGCTGAAAAAAACGTGTTTTGAGGACAATTTTGCTAGTAAAAGAGAACATATTTTAGGAAAAAATTACCGGGTATCATACAGTTATTTCCAAAATATTAATAGATATATATTTTTGGGGAGGGGGGAACAGTTATGCATTTCAATATATCTATATGATATTTATATATCTATTATGTTTTATAAGGGAATTGATTGAACAAAATGTGTAATTCCATAGAATTGTGCAAATCTGGATCTGTGACTTTGGTAGTAAAAGTAACATGGTGGTTTCGGGAATTTCGTTACAATAGACACTCTATACACAACGTTATTTATTTCGATTAAGAAATAACATATTATGATCACAATGAATACCATTTTACAGAGAATAAATGTAAAATAAAATAAAAATTATGTGAATTTTAAAAGATACCGAGGAAGAACTAAACACGTTTTTGCTGGATGTAATTTTACTAAGTATCATGCTTAGATAAGACATACTCGCACTGGACTGTTTTTTCTGTGACTGAGGTAAATGTACCGTCACCACGTTTTAGCAAATAAATGAAATTGGTTAAGAAAACAACAGTTACGTCCCTTCTAATGTAACGCACTTCCACCAAGTCAAAGTACATGATATGCATATATGTGTTACAAATGTGTAACAGAGTATGCGTGAGGTCACGGACGTATAATAGTGTTATATAGTTCATGGTGTAGTGTGTAGATGTATAGGAAGGCACACAGTACTTGACTGGTATAAGATCATTGATTCTAATACTCTATATACGTCCAATCGACACTCCTCCATAGGGGAATATCTTATTTATTCAATAAGACCAATCATTGACCAAATAAGGAATGCAATGAAGCTAATAAGACGAGGAAAATCAATATAGAAACCTTATTCTTTCTACTGAGTTACTGAGATATATTAAGTTAAGCTTTTTATATCTTATTTCATTTCCGTTTCAGGTCATTTAATGTACTTAACATGATGCTTCAAAAGTTAATTTAGATATTTAATACAGTGAATTATATATCTATGTTTACTAAACTAATAAATTAGTGATCTTATAAAGTCAACTAGATATATTATTTAGGAAATTTTCTATAATGTAACCTAGTAAATTAGAAATGTTATCAAATTTTGAATAAGGTATTGCATAAACAAATAATGCAGCTTATATAAATAATGAGATGTTTTATTGAATAAGTTAGTGAGAAACGGACAGGTTTGTACTGTACACACTACTTTGCACTGATTGGTCTCTATGACATGCGACTGGCCTTCCCTATGATGTTCAGTGATATCGCCGCCGGTTACTACAAGGATATCTCGTCCGGCAAAGTGACACTGGCTGGTCATGTGATTATAGACCCAGCAAACAGCCGTCCTTTCAGTGTATAGGTTATGATAACAGCAGTTTTGACCTTCAGTGTGATGTCATACGGTCACATTGACAGGCTACAATAAACTCTACTGCCGTTTGTTGGGGATTTAATAATACCTACTGTACATGTTCATACTTATATCAGGGTCAGTGGTGTGTACCGACCCATGTCCAAAAACCAGTTCAAGTTTGTCAGCGAACGACCACCCTCAGTGGCAAGATGTTTATGTTTCTGATCACGTTTTTCACAGTGAAAATATAAATGTTTTACTGATTGGAACAAGATTACAACGATTCTACAAAATATGAATCTGAAAAAGTAGTAAAAAAGATTATGACTTGATGTATGCTCTTTTTGTGTGTCAGTTCTTCGATTTATAACCACTTTTTATAAATCCTTTGTGTGTGAGTATGGTAGTCAGTTAAACATCCGAAAATTATTTAAATATTAATGAACATTTCCATTGTAACTATCTGTCATAGACGTATACGTCTCAGTGTCCCTTGTGATACGTCTCCGGTGAAAATAACCGATTTCAATATCTTCACAGTCACAATTTTTGACCGACCAGATTACAATAATTGCAGCCAAAAATCAATTTCTATTTCACTTTTTTGTGTAACGCAAATCCGAGTTTTAATAGACCGATTTCCGGACCCCCTTTTACCAATGCCAAGGCATCGCTCCCGGAAACCGGAAGTCGCTCTTGATGAAAGGGGAAGTAACTAACCTAATCAACAGCACGCTTACGAAATGGCATTGAGCCCTCATTCAATAGTTGCCATCGGATGGTAAGTGAAATAACTCTTTTGGCGTATATCTTGATTAATATTTATATTTCCCTACACATACCTGTTGATATAATAGAAGTGACGCCGTAGGTTCTTGCTACCATGAAACAGAGCATCTGATGCAAGTCATTTATATAATGTTTACCGGCTTTTGACCTCCAACTTTATAATGCTGTCAAATCGACAAAGTAAACTGATTTAACTACATAAGCCATTAACCAGTTTCGAATCAGTGTTGGATCCAGACGAAACTATCATTGGTAGGGGTCCTGTAATCGGAAGACTATGGTATGAAAAGAGAACCCAAATATCTTTCACCTGACAAAGGTACTCCCAAAACCTTTTTATTCATTGTGTTCAGCGCTAAATGTAATCCACAAGAATATAGTCATGTTAACAACAGTGACAGTGTTGAATGCAAGAGGGGCTTAATTGTATATAAAGGAATGCAATGGTGTATAAACGATCGTTCCAGCTGCCCATCTGAAAATCTCACTGAATTAAAAAATATGGTTGAAAACAAAGCCAACTACATGGCAATTGAAGATAAATGTAGCAGAACAGATTTGAAAAGATGGCAATAAAACCCTGGCATTTTGGTAGCTCCAGTTATCCTATCAAGGAGGATGTTTTACATGGTAACGAAAAGTGAAAAAAGTTGTCATTGAAATGTGTATAAAAATATTTTATGCTGAATGGACTAAATCACATTTTTCCCCTCTCTAGTGTTACTTGTTACAGCATGTTGGTATGAGGTCAAGTGGGTCAGTAGGTCATGTAATACAGCTTGGCAAACTGACATCTGAAAAAACATTATACTTTTTAAAATAGTGAACAACACAAGAAACATGGTACTAATTATTTGGAACATTTAAGGAAAAATGTTACTAGTTTTACTCCTATGGAACAATAAAAGGAACATGGTAGTTTTACTCTTAGGGAACATTGAAAGGAACATTGTTCTAGTTTTACTCCTAGGGAACATTGAAAGGAACATGGTACTAGGTTTTACTCATAGGGAACATTGAAAGGAACATGGTACTAGTTTTACTCCTAGGGAACATTGAAAGGAACATTGTTTATTTTTACTCCTAGTTTTACTCCTAGGGAACATTGAAAGGAACATGGTACTAGTTTTACTATTGGGGAACATTGAAAGGAACATGGTGCATGTTTTGCTCTGGGGGACATCATAAAGTATTGTTGTATATTTTTTTTTCTTCTGGAGAAAATGCCAAAATGAACTAGGATTATGTATGTTGATTCTATTTTGTATTGATGCCCTTTAACTAACCAGATAATATAGTTTTTAAGGCTTAGCATTGTTATTTCAACAAAAAAGAATGTTCACTCCCCAAAATATTAATTATATGAAAATCCAAGATGGTAGATGCAAACAGACTGAAGTCATTTAAAGAAAATATTTTTTTTTATAATTGAAGAAGGTTTACTTCTTACTTAGTATTTTGTGAAATGACCCTTAGATTTAATACCTGTCAGTAAACAATGTGGTTTTGAATTGTATAGCCCTGGAATGTATTCAACACTCAACGATTTCCATATGTCAAGTATAGCCGTATATTAGAAACAATTTTACAACAAATTTAAGAAGTCGTCATTCATTTAAACTATGTTGGAATGAATATTTTCTATTTGATCTTTTTCAGGGGCAGCATATTTGTAACTAGCTTCTTTGTCTACACAAATGCCCATAAATACGTTTCCAAAAGGAGGACAGAAATACTAAGAGAAAAACGACGGAGATCAAGAGAAGAAGCGTTAAAAGAAGAAAATCAGACTAAATCTTCATAACTAACTGACATTTAAACATCATTTTTAAAGGACTTTTGAAAAGCTACAAGGAACAGGCACTGTGATTGTTACCTATAGACCACAGATGTGTATGTCTGTGTGGATAGAATTCACTGGAATACCTACAAATAGGAAGGAGTGTAACAGGTCATAGCAGCCTGTGTGAGGTTGTTAACAATATCCTGTTTGGACGGGATCATAATTCTATGTTAAAGATACATCTGTGATGACAATCATGTGTGATTTACGTGGTGTGTGTGAATGTACTGAAAGAGTGTGGTTAAAGATTTACAAAATATCATAGAATATTACTTCAGGGTTGATTCTCTGTTTGTAGGGGAATGAATATTAAATTAGTAAAACCAGTCAGTTTGTGTAAGCTTTTTTAATTTCCTGATTGGCATGTCCACAATAAACGATACTACTAACTTGCTAAGACATCACTTCATATTAACCACTCCTTTTCTGTGGTGTGAAAGTTAATTATACACATGTAGTTTGTGTGTGTACATGGTATATACAATCATAGTTGAAAAATTCATAACAGAAACCTTCATATGAATGTGATCCCTTCGAACTTCTTATGAAATATTGATAGCAAACTGTTGCTGTCAAAATCCATGGTGACTGTATGTAGGCCATATCAATATTCTAATAATTCCCAAAATGGTCAACACTCAAATAGGGGACCAAGAGGAAGCAACAAATGAATTTTTTGTGAGTAATCCATCTAGAACTTCTCAAGAAGAAGGGGTTACAATCGATAACTGTAAAAAATCAAGATGGCCTCCTTTCAGGCATTTTGTTTTCTATGATCACTCCCAAAGTAGGGTATACGTAATATACAATATCGTCAGCCAAGGGGAACGAAAAAGTTTTGAGTCACATTTTTACCTGTGTGATGGTAATATTTAAGCTGCTGAGTTATTGCTGTCTGCATTTGCTTACTCAAAACACATTGTTGGAGAGACCTACTACCGATGAGTTAGTAAAATGGATAAACCTAAGTAAGGAGAGGGAATAATCTCAGAATTCGAAGATAACACACCAATCTTCCTTGATTTTTTTATTATTATTATTTCTCACTATATTTATCTGCTTCCTTCAGATTAACCAAACAAGGGAGATAACTGATGTACAATTCCTAATACAGACTATGTAAGCACAGGGGTTATCTTCCCTCTTGGTACCTGCATCAGGTTGAAGAGCAGTGACTTACTTTTATGGAGAGTCTGCAGCTGTCAGACAATTCAATTCTTTATTACTTAAAGCCTTGGAACTTGTCAGTATACATGCATATATAGAATGAATATTTCACACAAGCATGAAGGCATCATTACAGTGTGGACCCAGAGAGGTTAAATGGAAATCTTTATACATACAACATGAATACTAAAAAGATTGGTGTAATTTACAAACAAATGAAAACAAAATGCAGAATGAATTGAAATTGGAAAGTCTCCTTGCCTTCTTGCATTACAATACATCTAAACTTATCTCATTTGCAGTCTTGGAACATTTTAAAAAGTTTGGAGAGATGATCTTTTTCATCATCTTTTGATTACAGGTCTGCTGTATTTGAATATTTTATGAAAGTCTTTTGTAAAGAGTCAGAAAGGGCACTTTAAAATGAAATGATCACTGTCTTCAATATCTTGTACAGTGGATATAATTTAATATTGTGTATTTCCCAGTTTCAATACATAAATTGTAAATTGATAATTTATCTTTTTTATTTTTTAAGATTTTTCAGTACATGCACATAGCACAGGACATTTATGCACACATGCTAACACACACATTCGCATAAGTCATGTGGAAAAGTGACATCATCATCAACATCATCATCATCATCATCACATCATCATCATCATCATCGTCATCATCATTTGATTATAAATGTATATCTATATATTTGCAAAACTTTTCAAACTTAAATTGATACATCTTCTAGAACATACTTGTCACATACTTTTGTACAGACCGACAGAACAAACAGAACATAGAACCCTAATTAGATATAATTATAAAAAAGATCTACCAGTGGGAGAGGAGGGGAGGTATATATAGAATAAGGAAAAAGAGTCACTAACTATAAAAAGATAGTACATAGCATAGAATTTGTAAAGTTGGCAATGTATTTTATTGATAAAATGCCAGTTTACTAACTCAACTTTATAGACCATACAACAAAATTTCTTAATTATTTCCAAAAACACTTATAAAACTCATGACATAACATTTACTTGTAAAATAAAGTTCTCAGAATTTTTCAGTTTAAACCAGTTCTTAATAATTCTACATACATGTGATGATATAGATACTATCTACCAAATTCTAAATTCGTCCTAATGATTAGAAGTGTTTTTTTATATTTTGGGAAAAAAAAGAAATCTCAGATTTCAAACATTGTAGTGTCGGAAACCATTCAACTCATTTAAAACATACTATATACCTATGATTAATTTTCCTGAATATTTCCACCATCACGAAATGTAACTTTTTGTTTTGGAAGTACATTGTATTTACGATTGTGAAATAACATTTCTTTGTGTTTTTTAGATAAGGAGTCTTGATAGTTATTTTTTTCAAACCTTATGGAGTTTCTATTAAACCATGTTGTCTGCAAGCATTAGGAGAAATATTTTATTTTAATTTCAATGGACGGACAATTGTCATGAAAAAATGACACTTTTCAGTAATCAAATATATATATACAGAATTGGGAAGAGAATTTTACTCCTGGAACGTTCCATTTTCACACTAAAGAAAGTCAAATAACGACCCTTCAGTTTTAACAACTTCTGACATAGACAGTGATATTCCATATATCACAAAGTTTGAATATTGTTAATTCATCCGCATTGTTTAAACCGTTGCGATGTAATAGCGGTAAAAATAACTGTAACAAATGTTTTGGTTACAGTAAACTGAGTGGAACTTTTATAAAATGTGATGTCCACAATGTATGAATGATTATGTAAAAAAAGTGTGCCCGTATCAAGTTTTCCTATAACATATAATGGGCCTATTTTCAAACAGCATCAGAATGCTTGACATAGCAACCTTTAAGGTTACCTGAGACTTTTGTTTATTATGCGTGGTTCGTTAACTTTTCGCATTTTGATCTTCTTCTCAAGAACCGCAGAACAGTTTTAAACCAATTGTGTCGCTGGCATCAATAACAGAAGAGACAAAGTTTGTGATCCACATCCCCTGGGGGTTTTAGCGCTGGGCAAGTACAGTGAAACCATGTTATTTTAAATAACTCGCAAGGATACAAATTTCTTTATCAAGTACTAAATATGGTTGTGATGTAGAAGAGTTGCTCGCTCAATATAGCAAAATCTGTGTTCTTTTGATGTACCATTTAATCTCCAGGGATGGAGAATTTTTGGATGAAGTGAAAACACTGAAACAGCAATAAGATTCCAATTCGTTTGAAAACTATCAACATTTTGTATAAACACAAGCATACAAGTTTTTTATGAGTGAATTTGTTCGCTAACTCGGTCAAACTTCATTAACACTTTTCTTTAAAATTGTCAACTTCGTATTGAAGCTACAAATAAGTTTTAAGAAATTATGTTAATATTTCAAGGTCACAGGATCAAAGGGCGGCAATATATTGAAGTAGTAAACTTCAAATTATCTCTGTATCGTTACCTTTTTGTATTAAAAAAATCTTTTTATCACAAAAAAAAACTTCCTGAACCAACATTTGGGTCAAAATGCATCATGCTGCTTATGTAAGTGTGCATTCTAGTTTTCGTTTTTTAGGAAACCGGACTACCCTGAAAAAATCCCTGTAACCGATGGCATTTAAACTATTTGCCTTTTCTGATTTTGACATTATCAAAGATCACAGAAAGGTCCCGTTTTGCCACCAAACATTTTCCATTAATAAGTTTTAGCTACTGATCATATCACTGCCTCCTTCATTACTTGCTGTGAATGTGTAATACAATTTCAATGTCATATCAATATCAGAGATTTTCTGGCAACCATTCTGCCCTAAAATTACAGCAAGGGATCAAAGATAGTTATACTGTATGTAGTCTCTAGGTAACTCTCCTGGTTTGGATTATGGATAGAGGTACTATAACACCTACATTACTGCGTAATGGGGTAAACAATTGAACTGTTTTTACATGTTGAAAATTTAACAATGTAAAATAATACAGCAAATCTCGGTATTGCACGACCGATGTTTTCTATATCATCAGTACCTACAATGTGTAAATGAAGCATGCAAGATGGATCCGTATTCATTAATTACAAACATGTAACAAGTCATTAGTGAGAGTTATTTGTGGAATATTGACACAGGAACTTAATTAGACTGGACTTCTATATTTTCGGAAAACCTTTGAGAAATAATTAAACAAAAAACAGCTTTCAATACATTTAACTAACAACAAATAAACGGCCATGTTTACAAGTAACTCGTGTTTGTGTTGTTTTTTTTTCAACGTGTCTGTATTTTCTTTGTTGTTTTGAACCCGCGATATCTACTAATTTTATCTGTGATGCTATTCACGTCATTGTTTTTTCTTTCATTTGAACTTGTTCAAGATCCTCTCGTCACTGTTTTGACCAATACACCTTAAACCAACAAGATACAAAAATATCTAATTTAATTAATTAACGGGAAAATACAACATATTTTACTTTCCTCAGATGTTTACAGGTAAAATATAGTTCTGTCAGTACATCGTGCTCTATGCTAATCTTCTTCTTAAAGATATTATCTTCCGATTTCGTGCGAAAAATGAACTTTTTTATTTCTTTGCCGGTGAACATTATAATGTTCGGAAAAGGATAAGAATGACTTGTATCAGATAAACATGTTTGTGATATTCTTCTTAAAAACCGTGAACTCCCATTATAGATTAAAACTTCAAGATTATTAAACTATCATGACGCGTCAACGAAAAAGAAGCAAAGAAAAATATTTTAAAACTGTGACCTTCCACCATAGATTATAACTTCAAAATTCTTCAACTATTATGAGGTGTCAACGAAAAATAAGCGCAGAATTTTATCATTTGAAAGAAATGGACGAAAATTATCTGTATCATAGCCATCCAGTTCTTGTAATGGCGAAACAGAAATTTAAAGATTGTTATACATGTATAGATAGTTTGTTAAAATTTGGATATAGAAAATAAAGAGCTTCTATTTCATGTACACGTCTTCAAGATTTTCAATATCTTATTAATTCAACTTTCTATAGGGGTTATTACAGGACAAAGACATTTGCTGAAATACTGCTACTTTTCCATGAACAAATCCCACCCCGGGGCTGCTTAAGTATGAGCACCTTGGTTCGCACGTTAATTAAAGTGCTTGAAAACGAGGTCAGATAA